TGACATTGTGATGCACTAGTTGACTACAAAACAAGTTGTTTCACACGACGTACGTTTCGCCGTATGGTTCGTGACGGCTCATCAGGTGTGCAATTTGAAACTCGGGTATCAATTTTTGTTTTGTAGTCAACTAGTCCATCACAATGTCATGCATGAGGAGTACTGTGGGAGTTTAGATTTCGGCTTGTACGAGTCACAATTCGTTCTCGAAAAGCTTCCCCCTTCTTAACTTATCTTTGATATTTTTGACCTACCCAAGTTGGGTGGTGTGCTGCTTTGCTGCTTCGAATTGTAGTTAGACCGCTTTGTCAAATCGCCTACTGGTCTCGTCATCGTCCAGTGACAATCGACATTCTTTGTTCGGTTGGGACTGTAGCTTGTGCTCGTTTTCGTTGCGCTTGCCTTCCCCTCTTTGGTCTTTCCATAACCTTGAACCTTCCAAGTTGGAAGGCTGTCGGTTAGCGCTACGGAGATGTGTTGAAGCTAGGTGTCAGGACGTCGAATGTCTCAGTACTCTGTCAGTTTTGTGCCTAGTTGTTGCACTTTCTGACTGTATATACTATCTAGTTACAGTGGTGGAGAGTTACTCTTAACTCGTTTCCATAATTATGTCCTTTTCCTTTCTAATAATAATAATAATAATTGGCCTGGAGTTTGGTGTTTCGAAGTGCGCCACGCTTCATGTACACCGGGGAGTGCTTGAGTCAAGTGATGCGGAGCCTGTGGAAACACTGACTGTCACTGTTGGGCATGGCTTTACTCACCCTGCAAGAAGATAACATGACTGTACAAATACGTCGGATTCATTGAATCGGCTGCACTGCCGCATCGCATGGTGAGATTAAAGAGCAAGCTTCGTGAGGGTTATGGAAAGCGATTAGATGCGATCTTCAAGTCTGGATTAACGGCTGGATATTTAGCAAAGGCAGTAAACACATACGCGCGGTGCCACTGCTCACCTACAGCTTTGGCATCATCAACTGGCGACCCGTAGAATTGGAGCAGCTGGATATCTTGCTCAGGAAGAAGCTCACCAAGAAGGGATGGCATCACCCTCGGGCTGACAGGGAGAGGGTGCATTTGGTGCGCGCTGAAGGCGGCCGTGGATTCCACAGTGTGGTAGATCTACATGAACGATCCATCATCCAGATCAATAAATACATTGAGGGCAACCAGGACCACATTGCCATTGCTCTCCTAAAACAGTACCATCATGAAAAAGCAAAATACTCTGTCTCCAGTGATGCTGCGAAATATTTGACAAAGATTGGTATGGAGGAGTCAGCCACAAAGGAGCAAATACGCCAGGGATACCAGCGGCATAGGGAGGAGACAATCAGAAAGAAGCCTCTGCATGGCCAATTTTGGCTGATGCTGCAAGATGCTGAGCTGGATCGAGGGCTCTCCTTTGCGTGGTTGCGGTCTTCTGCTTTGTGTCCGGCGACAGAGAGTATTGTCATGGCCATACAGGACCAGGCTATCCCAACACGGAACTTACAAGAGATATTTAATCAAGGAATGGGTGTGTCAATGAGGGTTCTCCTTTGCGTGGTTGCGGTCTTCTGCTTTGCGTCCGGCGACAGAGAGTATGTCATGGCCATACAGGACCAGGCTATCCCAACACGGAACTTACAAGAGATATTTAATCGAGGAACGGGTGTGTCAACGAAAACGAGCTGCAGGATGTGTGGAAAGGACAAGGAAACGGTTTTCCACCTTATTGGAGCGTGCACGGCTTGTGCTGTGGGGAAGTCACGATGTCAATCGCCACAACAGGTTAGCAAAATATCTCCACTGGACGTTGTGCAGGAAGTATGGTGCATCGGACATTTCGAATAAGTACACAAGTCACCAACTCACCAACGTTGTGTACAGTGCTGAAACGGATGTGTCAATCTACTGGGAAGTGCCAATTCCAACAGCAGCGCCCGTTGGAGCGAACAGACCCGACATTGTTATCAAGGGCAAAGATGAAGCGTTCCTTGTGGACGTAAGTGTCCCTCTGGATAGGAACATCCGCCGAAAATCTGTGGAAAAGATACAGAAATATCAAGGCCTGAAGCGTGAGGTGGAACAGATGCGGCAGGTTCGGGCCAAGATCGTGCCAGTGATTGTGGGGGCATTAGGTGGATTAACCCCCTCGACTGCTGACTTTGTGAGGGAATTGGATGCCGGAGCCAGCGTATCGATCTTGCAAAAGGAGGCGCTCCTTGGCACAGTTGACATCATCAGGTCAATAACTCAGATGAAATAACAATTACACTCTAATAAGTTACATTGGTTTGCGAATGCCCATGGTTCGAACTATTAGTTGAAGCCCCTATTTGCAGAAAATAATTATGATCGTAATATTAATCACTTGCCAATAACAAAGACAACAATAATACAGGCATCAGCCCCCATTCACCGGTTTTGACGGTGTTTCCCTGATGTTGAATGAGAAGAATTATATCGCTGCCGTTAGTGCTATTGTGTCGCTGAAGGGCTCGATTTCAGGTTTGATGACGGTCACTTTTCAACGGATTTTGTTTTCTGATTTAGCTCTCTTGCTATTACTGTACCTGCTTGTGTTAAGTCTCTTTCTAGCAGATTAGTTGTATAATAGATTGTACATGCATCATTGTACATGCATCATTGTGCATTTGCTGTTCACAGTACTTCTCTCTTTTTTCTTTCTTTTTTTCTCAGTCTCCCTTATTATAATTTTCTTCACATACAGCAGCAGTTCTCCCCATGGTCTTAAATGACCCGGGATGCTGCATAATACAAACACAATACCAATAAAGCCACCCCTATAATAATAATTATAGCATTGGGGATTCATTCTGGGTACTTTGATAGTTAAGAGGGTAGGCAATTGTACATGTACAATGACAACATACCGTGAATATTGAAATGCTCAATAGCGGGCGCTGTTAAAGGGGAAGTTAAGGCAAAAATTAAAATTTCACCAGTTGTAGTCTTCGGGGTGCTGAGTCGAATGGTCGTGGTCCGAGGAAGCTGAGACGCTCCCTTCCTACTTGAATCCCAATCGAACTCGCGCACTTCCACCGAAACTGGGTGACTGCGCCCTACTAGATGGGGATTTGTATGCAAAATGTCACTAAAAGCGCCATTTCGTTCATATAAAAGCACGGATGACCGCGATTGGCCCATATGTTGTAGTCTTTTGGACGCTGAGTCGACTGGTTTTGGTCCGAAAAGGCTGCGATGCGGCGTTCCTCCTTTATTCCCAATCGAACATGGTTGAAGAAGCGGTCACGTGGTCCTGGGTGCCCAAATCACCTGGTCACCACGCCAGCAGGTGACAACTTTCACACCAAGGTTCAACTCGAGTTCAACTCGAGTGACAGGACTGCACCCAAAAAAGGTCAAACAGGCTAGTAAGTTGTACCCTGCAGGCACGGTGACTGGTGTACGCAGGAGCACGTGACCGCTTCTTCAACCATGTTCGATTGGGAATAAAGGAGGAACGCCGCATCGCAGCCTTTTCGGACCAAAACCAGTCGACTCAGCGTCCAAAAGACTACAACATATGGGCCAATCGCGGTCATCCGTGCTTTTATAAGAACGAAATGGCGCTTTTAGTGACATTTTGCATACAAATCCCCATCTAGTAGGGCGCAGTCACCCAGTTTCGGTGGAAGTGCGCGAGTTCGATTGGGATTCAAGTAGGAAGGGAGCGTCTCAGCTTCCTCGGACCACGACCATTCGACTCAGCACCCCGAAGACTACAACTGGTGAAATTTTGATTTTTGCCTTAACTTCCCCTTTAACGCTAGAGCAATGGGGTACCTTGTAGTATGCACATACAAATTTCTCCAGGGCGGCTAGGCTTTCTGTCGACAATGACTGAAACTGCTGCCCAACGCTGGTGAATACTTCTCTAGCAGCTGTGCCGGCCAATGTATCACCTTGCACAATACTCAATGCTGCCTTTTTCCCACGATATGCAAAGGCACTTGTATCACACCCGGTGAATGCATGGAGGGCGGGGAGAGCTTTGCAAACGTCTATGCCCAGCTTCTCACTGACAGCCTTCATGTCAAGTCGTCGAACTTTGGCACCAGTTCCGGTGAGGAAGTAGAGCTGTGCTGGTATGGCATGGCTGAATGCAGCAGCGAGAACAGCAACATCTGTGTCAGGCGACTTGATAGTGACGAACGCACAACCTGATGAGGCAGCATACTTGGCATGTAACAATAGACGAGTGTCGTCCACAATAGTGTCATGCATGAGGAGTACCGTTAGATATTGGCGTCCGGTTTTGTACAAGCTTTTTCGCAAAGCTTCCCCCTTCCTTTATCTCTGATATTGCTGACCCACCCAAGTTGGGTGGTGTGTTGCTTTGCTGCTTCGAACTGTAGTCAGACCACATTGTCATGTTATTAACTTGTCTCGTCATCGTCCTAACAGTCGGCATTCTTTGTTGCCGCGGGACTTAGCTTGTGCACATTTTCGCTGCGCTCACCTAAGTGTCCTTCCCCTCTTCGGTCCTACGTAGCCATGAACCTTCCAAGTAAGTAGTTGGAAGGCTGTTGTTTCGCGCACTGGATATGTGTTAGAGCTAGGTCTCAGGTCGCTGAGTGTCTCAGTAGCCTGTCAGTTTTGTGCCATATTATCGCACTTTCTGACCGTTTATCATCATTCTTGTTACAGTGACTCGTGGATAGTTGCGGCATAACTCGTTCTCATGTGTCTCTTTTCTTTTTTACATTTATTACTGGCTCAGTATCCCAGTTTAGATTATTATTATTATTATTATTATTATTAAATGTTGAATAGGGCAGTCCCACAGGCCTAGGGCCTTTGATGCATTACTATACTAGACAGAGTAGATTGCCGTCTCCCTTCAGATATTTTTTTCTTTTCTGCTTATACCCACTTGGGTGAACAAGTGGATTTAGATTGAAATTCCTCTGTGGACTTTATTATGGCATGGCGTAGTGAGTCATTTTGCATCCAAAAGAGCTAGGAAAGCAGCGGTGTTTCGGATATAAGGCCATGGCTTTAAAGGCGCTGACATACGGTAACTGTACTTGCAGAATATAGCATGTTGATAGTCAGTCCATGCATGCTGATAATCCATAGAGCAACTGACATCGGGCGAACATTCACATACAACTCAGCGGGTTATTGAAAGGTACGTACTGTAAGTATTAACTTGTATGGCTCCAGGCCGACGATGGGTTAAAAAGTCACACAAAACTAGGAACAGAAGAGATTCTGCAAAAAGCAGCTAAGTACATGGAGCTGGCTGAGCAGTATGTACATTTTCTAAAGCAATATACAGGGGTATATACAGGGAATGCGAAAGCTATAGTATAGAAAGGACAGAGATTCAAGGAGAGAGTGTGGTGATGACCAGGGGTAAATCACCAAAGAGCAGCTGTACAAAGACTTCATCACAACTATAGACAGTATAACATCATGACAACACAAGGACAACAACGCAACCATGTACACTATGTACAAAGAATATATGGAGCAGAGTACAAACCTGCATAGGACGTGTGTATGTGGCAGGGTTAAGAAGCAGCACATGCTTTGGTTACATTCGAATCCCTTCCACGGCCTTCGATGCAAGAGACTCGGCCTGGTGCTTGTGTACGAAGTGCTGCTTGTTGGCCTTTTTCTCCACTCGCCGATCCTGAGGCACATTGCAGCAAGAGACACAGCCACAATACACAAATACAGAAAATGCTCACCTGGTGCTGCTGTCTGTCTACCAGTGCACTTGCATTCCTAGTAATGCAATCGATGGCAATGGTGAACACTTGGTTGACGTTAAAATTAAAAGAGAGAAAACTATTTATCCACCTTGTTTAGGACACGACAATGCTAGGCCTGGTTGCAGCTTGGACACAACCCCGTTGATCTTGGTGAAAACAAAAGAATGATGAGAGTCTGGGCCTATGCCAGAAAGTAGAGCGCTGGGCACGTCCCTTCTTCTGGGCATGTCCCTTCTTCTGGGCACACCAGTCAGAAGAGGTCTCGGGGCAACGCCAAACGGCGTAAGCCTGGAAATGTCTCGGAACTTGCAATGAAACCATGGCATTGCAGTAATTACTCCACGATTAGCGGTGCATGATATGCTGAAGTGTTGTGTGCCCCATCCATTGCGTACCATAGCACATAACATTGGATTGGCGGCCAAAACCAACATCGCCTGGCAAGCGGGGTGGGCTGCGAGCAACCTACAAACCGTTCAGCTACACGCATGGGTCAGTCGACACTGCACATGTCCTCCACTTCTTGTAACAGTGCAGCCATAGCGTGGGTGGCAATGTTACTAACATGTCCGTTGACGCTTAATCGTTTTTTTGGTTTCAACGTCTATGCACAATCATGACATGAAAGCTGGTTGGACCGCATCCATGATGAAACAATAGGATTTACTATGTCATAGTAAATCCTATTTTCAAAACAAAAGCACTGGGTTACAGTCCTACAGCACAACATGCCTGATCAACAGTAGCAGGCCACACTACAGCACAGCACAACATGCCTGACTAACAGCCAGTGAATCACATGCTCTGACTGAACTCAGGCTGAGGCAGCACTTACCCGTCGGTGCTCTTTGGTCGCCTGCTTGCGCAGCTTCTTCTCCTCCCGCGTCTCGTCTCTCCGCCGCTCACAACACAATGGTGGCGGCGCTGAGGAAACAACACAGAGAGGACCGCAACGCAGGCATGTTAATAAAAATAATGTCAGCACAGGTACTCGTAGGTGATCAAGCAGAAGTTCGCTGAGCACAACAGTACCATCGGGCGCCGCAGAACGGAGCGCCGAAGAACGAACAGCCTAGAATTTCACCAAGCACAGCATACCAATGTATACACGGTGACTCAACTGTGTACAGACTGTATACAAGAAAAAAAGAACGGTCTAGGCTACGATCTGATTGCAATGCAGCTTGGTTGCACACCAGCAGCCGCCCCAAGGATCCCACCTACCTTCCACGTCCTCGTCCATCTCTACCGTTTTCTTGGGCTTCTCGTGTAGTATGCCTGCTGGCAGTCCAGTCTTCTTGTCCAAAACGACCGGCGTGGGTGCAGCCGCCGCAGCAACATCCTGTAGCGACAAAACCAATGGAACAGAGACACCACTGAATAGAACAGAAATATAACGGGAAGCCGTCTTTCACAGCAAGAACAATGGATGCGCATGAAAATGTGGCAATGCTCAGACTTTGGGTGGGCAAAATTCTGCATTAACTGCCGAGGACCAGCTTGACTAAATGAGTGTGTTCAGAGAATTTCCAAGTGCTCTAATAAGACAGGTCCTCCCCTCTCTAGCACACATATTTCCTTCAATTGAATATTTACAGTTTTACACAAAGGTAGGCACTGTCGATGTGATAGTGCTCAATGCACACAAAGTGCAGAGCCGCTCACAGCAATTGTTGGCTGATGATAACCTTAACGTGAAACTCGGAGTCCCAATTAGAAACTTGGTTCTTTTTGTGCTCAAGTGTACATTTCTGTATTGACTACAAATAGCAGTGGCACACGGCCAAAGAAGGGTAGTGACAGCTTACAGTGGTACTTCCTCCGGCCTGTGCTGACTGGGAGCCTTTCTTCTTCTCTTTTACCGGATTAGGAATAATGGCTGGCATGTTACGCCGCCGTCCCACGGTGGAAGTACCTACGGAACAGACAACAACGAAGCAGCAGCAGCAGCATAGCCATTGTTAATTCGTGTGATGCCGCAGTACACAGTAGGACAGCAGAGCAACGTTCTGCCCTTGCTGAATCTGAGCACTTTCAGCACTCTGGGTACATCCTTCGGTGACAACAGCACATGTACATGTATCAGCATGCTGAACTTCAAGAGCACAAGCCTGGGATGCATCCAAAATGCCTCACAAAGTCACAAGACAGTATTACGGACTCACTTCGAATGGACATGACATCAAACTGTGGCTTGGCTCGTACAGTCACCATCTCCAACTCCTCTGGTTCCTCTTCACCGTCGGATTTCTCAAACCGGAACTTTTCAATAATGGCGGCCATGGCGCGACGATACTCCTCCGTGTCCTTTGTCGAATCCGATGTCAGCAGGGCTTCAAGTTGCGGGCGGTTACAGCAGCTCTCTTTGAACTCCTCTAGCATCTGCTGGACACGCTCCGGAGGCAGTGTGTGGGCATGGGTGCCGGGTTCGTACTCATCCTCGTCCCACCTCCTCAGCTCCTGCATTGGCAGACATTACGACAGAAACACATGAATAGTACGTATTGATGCCAGTGAACCAAAACACACACGCACACACACGCACGCACACACACCAGTAGCACATGGTGATTACCACTGACATGAAGACAACCACCAGCACGTGCGGTTGGCAGTACACTGGAACAAGGTGACAATGCTCACACAAACGACGCATGGCCCAGACCCGCCGGAGCCTACACTAGGCTACAGTCAAGAGCATGTCACCTGACCCGTCTTTCAATCAGCGCACAGAAGGGCCGAATAAAACAACCCAGTGGACCAGAATCATACAAACAACACCAGAAAAACAACATAAATGTAATGCCAAGTTTACATCTTGAACGTACCTCTTCAAATCTGGCATCCAGAAGCTTGAGGCCTAACGACCAAGAGAGGACAGAAAAGGAGAGCTAATTTCATAACTAGGACGATAGCCAAAACACCACCGTACTGAAGGCTTGCTTCAAACCAGGCGAACTGCGATATGATCCAACTCGTGACACACTGTAAAAACTACTGCAACTCATGGCGTGAATACACAGCATCAAAGAGCCTGATCATAGTGCAGGATTAGTCAGTACAGTAGTAGGTAACTTGACAAAGTTCCCACAATGACCCGGAGCAAAGATCACAGAAGCTATTATAATGTAGAGACAGGACTTGCACAAACCCATGTGGCATCACATGGTGTTACTCTAAACACCATTTAATTCATCCAAAAAAAGCCGGTGCTGCTTATACTACGATGGTCGAATTAACGGTGATAGACAGGGTGGATATCTGTATTTCGTGACAAAAAAATCCGGGTGCGGTTTATACTCTGGAAAATACGGTAATCTACTCTCCACACGTATCAACGAATCTTAGAAAAAAACATACAATACTGGCCGGCATATCTTGGTCACAAGACATACCTTCGTTCCTCGGCAGTACTGCCGACGTGACGGAATATCCTGAAAACCGCGAGCGACCATCATCAACGTCGTCCAAGCCTAGTTGCATACGATGATATGCATCGTTGTACACGTCACCGACTGCAACGTCGCTTCTTGCATCTGAGTCTGGGTCGTAATCGCCATCACTCCCCTCCTCCTCATCATCATCATCGTCGTCGTCGCCATCTTCTTCTTCATCCGTGTCCATATCTTCCCAATCATCTTCGTTATCTTCTGCTGCTGCATCTCCATCAAGCACCGCATCCGGGTCAGGCACCTCGCCACCATTGGCCTACACAAGATAGGACAGTACAGTACAGTACAGTACAGTGCAGTACAGTGCAGTACTGACATTCAGTGCCAGGAATGCAATACATGCAGCATGCTCCCACAACTCGCAAACCGTCCAGAAGACCGTGGACTTAGCAAACCGTAGCCTGCCTTACTATACAGGTTGCAAAGAGACACAGTGTAAACTTACAAGAAGCACAAAGTCATCCTCAAAATCATCTGGATTCTCAGCGTCAACAAAGCTTTCGAAATCCTCGTCCAGAGTCTCCACAATGTCAGGATCCATATCCAACCGAGGACCTTACAAGAAACAGAACAGAACCAAGAATTCACAAACACATTCTAATGTCCATTTTGAAGGGGCTTTCACTCGAGAGATGCTTCACCATTTCAATACCGTCGTATCTGTATTCAAATCCATACGTCATAAGGGCAACAACTACCTACTAGAATGAGCTAACATTATGTGAACAGGATGTCCCTGCCTGATGGACTTGTTGAGCTTGTGAACAAGATTGAGATTGTTTTTGAATTGTGTTTTTGAATTGATGTGGATTTTATCTTTGCTATTTTCTTTCCGTCTATTCTCTCACCTCCCCCCCCCCCCTCCCCCCGCCCTCTCTCTCTCTCTCTCTCTCTCTCTCTCTCTCTCTCTCTCTCAAGCTGTTGCCAGGTAAAGGGACAATGCTCTCGTAACATTGCATATGTCTTCACAAGAATACTATGAGCCTAACAGCGTCTCTGATGATCAGTCGGCATGACTTGGGATCAAGGGTACCTTACCTGGTCGAGGTGCTGCCAAGTTCAGCATGCCAATAGCCTCCTCCGCCTCAGAGGGAAACACGGAGCCAGGCAGCTTAAGGTTTTCCGAGACCTGGAGGGACAGCAGAGAACATGAATCTCGTTACATACCCACACTGCACAATAGCCACATCAAGTGTAATAAATAATACTCCAAATGGATTGTATCAGGAAGAACACATCAATAGTATTCACAACCCAGTTTTCAAGTCACAAGCAAACGGTCTCCTATAACGTTATCCTGTGTGTGTGTGTGTGTGTGTGTGTGTGTGTGTGTGTGTGTGTGTATATAAGACTGAAGATAAAGGATCAATAAGAAGTGCAGCGTAACTCCATTGCAGCCGTCACCGCGTGTCACAACAAAATATGGTACACACACCCGCAATCCGTCCCTGACTACACAGCACTCTTCAGTTCTTCTAAATTTTCATCCAGGAGGGCATCATCAGGGAACAGTACACAACAATAACTTGTTCGACCACTGGGTGAAGTTCGCCATGTTTAACTTTTTTTATAAAAGTTTTCACCCTTACAATTCAATGTGAATGCACTGTATTTTTAGATCTTTGTCATGAGGGTCACATAACAATACAGTGTTAGGCCAAACCTAGAAAGACATCATGCTAGTTTGCCAAAATGACCGTCGAATAACTCCCGATACATGTACCAGTCTTTTGCAGAGAAATTGTCCGCGTTGTTAGCAAAATTCTTATTCCTTTTAATATAGGATAACTCCTTGCAACCATACATAGCTTCATGAAAAGGATCTATGCAAACTATTTACTTGTAGGCCCTATTTTCCGGCTTTCAAACTTGGGCCTAAAAGGACCTGCAATTGAAAAACTCCCAAACCTCTATCACCTACCTGAATAGGATCATGCTTGTGCTTATTGGCGGTCATCGTCTCCTCAAGCTCCACCATGGCATCCGCATCAGGGTCACGGAGATGCTGCAGGTAGTTGTACCCGTCATCATAGTAGATGCCAAACTTGCGTTGCTCAGCTAGCACATCCTGCGGATCGCTGCATGAACGTAAACAGGAACACCGGAGCGTGGCAACCACATTGTATAGTCAATCCAGTATCATTTGCAACCCATTACTACCAGCAAATGCGCGTGCACTTCCAGAACAGTCTAGTCATGACCAGATGAACACCTCCAAAGGAAAATTTAATCAATCTGACGTTCCTGTGCCAACCTAGCAGACTACATGCACGGTACGCGCGCGAATACAAGCCCCCCCCCCCCCCCCCCCCTTCGAATAGAGCCCGTCCCTCAGTAGCATTCAAAGTAATACAGCCCCGCCTCGAATAAAAGCCCAGGGCTCTAATCGAGCGCCCACAGTCCGTACGTTGCAGTGCAGTACATGAACCATGTACGGCATGCACGATCAACACAGTGTGCTTTGCGGATCACTAGATCCATATTGGAGGTACGGGATCGCTCTGGCCCTCTGGGATAAATGTAGAGACATGCAAAAATGGGAACACACTGCGCCAGAAACAATCATCTTGAAAGGTGTGAAGAATTGATGTTTCTATTGAAAAATAAAGCCCCCTCTCGAATAGAGCCCCCTCTCAAATACAGCCCCCCCCCCCCTTTGGTTGTCTTCTGGAAAAATAGAGCCCCCGGGGCTTCTCTTCGCGCCTATGCGGTACTTCATACTTACAAGTCAAGCTCTTCATCTTTGGACGCCTCTGCAGCACCCTGCCAACACCAGCATGGGGGCAGTAACGAGCACCGAAACGGGGACAGAAACACAACAGAAGCACATCGGACAACGTTGATGAAATCACTGACAGTAGGAAACGTTGATGAAATCACTGACAGTAGGAAGTACTAGACACGAACATGTGTAGCCCTACACTGCCAAACAGCATGTGTCCACTCCTGGCTCCCAGGTACGTTAACTACACAAGTCTCAAAGGACTGCTTCTAATCTAGAGCAGTGGCCAGGGATTTTCCCCAGTCGATTCTCAACCAGGCACAGTACTGTTCTACTGTGGTAGCTACTAGCACCATATTTTTAAATCAGATACTTGGGTGTCTAACCAACCAATGCAGCCCGTCCAGTCCAACCGGCAGTGTATCAGCTTGACCAGTGCTAGCCACGTCCCCGAAGGCACACACGCACCCAGCCAACTGCCGCAGGACTAGCGCACAAAACCAGTTTGCTTTCAATAACAGTTCGCGGCCTCCAACACATATACAATGTACTGTTAATACTGTACACAGCCTGCGCAACTAGAGTTATATTTGCTCACGAGTCACTGCCAGGAACAACAGGTCATGTGGGTCTCCCTTCCAGAGAAAATTACTCGATTGGCCATTGGATCACCCAACGGCTGATGCGCCCCTTGATACCTCTGACACCGGGTGATTTACACATGCATACAGCCAGCCAGCCCACCAGAGAAACACACGAACATGCAGGCACGCACACACGCACACACACACACACACGCGTGTGCACGCGTGCATGCACACATTGTCACAAACATGCACGCATGCGCGTGCGCACACACACACAGACACACACACACACACAGTCACACATACAAACACACACGCACGCGCATGCACACATTGCCACAAACATGCCCGCACGCGCGCACACACACACATGGTTACAAATACGCAAACCTACTGTAAACCTGGAATCGTTTGCGCCCGTTTTAGTTCGTGAATTGCGATGACAGACCTTTTCGCGCCTGCAAACGTTTGCGATTGGAGTCAATTTGATGACTGACTCGAGTCCACCGTTTCGCGTTTCGCACCCACATACTTTCGCGATTTCACACCCATCGAGAAAATGGCGAACGTTTCAGGATCGCAAAGGTTTCTGGGTTTACAGTACACACACATACACACACACATAAACATTGTCACAAAAACACACACATTGTCACCAACAGCTGCACACATAGACAAGCACACGCGCACGCACACATACCCACACACACAACACACGCACACACACATACCCCCCCCCCCCCCCACACACACACAAGCGCTGGCAGCTCCTTCAGATCACGACAGGTATGTTTTAGGCGGAATGAGCTCAACTAGCATGTTCCAAACATGTATATCACTGTAGTTCTAGACCACCGGTAGGGTCGAGTGTATCACGCACAAATCGGCAAGAGAAATTCTAAAGCTCAAAACGGATTCCCATTGCCAGTCTCCAATTATCTGGAAGTTACTGCATAGAGCTGGGATAGATACCGTGAACATAGGAGTGAAGATGAATATCTCGTACCTTTTTGCTCTGAAAAGGTTGCAGGACATACGCCGAGCTCTCCTCGTCCGCCTGAAGCGGATCTTTCTGGCTTCTATGCACCACCCGATAAGAATGGGCATTCTTTTTGTCAATAAACTGTCGCTTCTTCTTCCCCATCGTGATAGGACAACTGGAAAGGATTACTGATGTGGACAAAAACAACTCAAACTATTGTTACTTGCTCAAGAATCATCAAACAAGTAGAAAATGTCACCTTTTTGTTTCTTGGCAAAAATCACTAATTTTACCACTTGACAATTATGTGTACGTATGGATGGACGCGTCGACGTCACGACGACGTGTTATAATTATGACATCATGACTAGGAGTCGTAAAAGTACCAGTCCTGGTACTGACCTGCTGACTGTACTGGACTGTACTGCATGCCACTACTCGTACTCGTAGTGCACTGTGTCCGCGCCAGGGAGTCGTAATCAGGGAGTCGTAAAATATTTTACGACTCCCTGGTACATGGTCGTAATGGTATTTTACGACTCCCTGGTCCGCGCCGATCACTACAGTCCATTCAGAAAAAGATGGACTTCTAGCTTTTGGCCATAAATGGGTCAAACTTTGAGTTTTTTTAGAATTTTTTCTGCAATCCCCTATCCTCTTCCAATTATGTTTCTGAAGTTTTTTTCTCCAAAAAGCAAGCCATAACAAGAATAGGATTTCGGCCAGGTTTTGCCCCCAAAGCATTGAATTGGGAAAAACCATAAAAATCCAGGCCGTTTGACCCCGTCTGCAACAGTGCATTGTGCGGTTCGAACCCCAGTTCAGGTACCCTTTTTGGACCCTTTTTCAAATTTCAAATTTCGCAGCACTGCACTGTGTACGATGAAATCACGAAAAATCGCCAAATACGGGAGCTCGCCAGAGCCAGAGCCCATCTTTTTATGAATGGACTGTACTCTGTAGGCTTATCCACAAAATGTTTTCAATTATTTTTGAATTTTGGTTGGACTTTTGCACTTTGAACTTTTTGGAATTTTGGCCCCATCAGGATTGAATTTTGGCCGTTTTTGGAGAACGACAGTGATGTCACATCAGGAGAGTACATGTGCTGCTCAATATGCGGGAAGGAACGCTATTGAACAGACGTCTCCGCTCCAGGTATTACCAGAATGAATTTATGTCGGTGAAGAAACAGCCCCGGAACCAATGGGTCCTGATGAATGCATTGCTCCGCAGAAAGGCTAAGGACAGTGGCGAAGGAATCGACCACAAAGGAGTCTCACAGGTTTTCCAACAAATTGTCACTGATCCTGATAGGTTGCCACTTCTCTGTCCATTCGGTCCACATCGCCAGCCGTCAATGTTATCCATACCGCAGCCTACAGTCACCAACATCTTGAAGATTCTTCGCACTCTGAACGTGCACAAGGCTCCGGGGCCGGACAGAATACCCTCGATCCTGTTTAAGAATTGACATGAAGTTCTAGCAGGCTCACTGTGTGCAATATTCAAGGCATCCATTGAGGAGAGCAAGTTTCCAGCTTTGTTCAAACACGCATCCGTCAGAGCCCTTTTCAAAGGCGGAGACCGCTCAGAGCCGCGAAACTTGTTGTTGTTGTTGTTGTGTTTATTTTAATTCGCAAACCAAACGGGCAGATCTGCCCAATGAAAAGGTGGCGAATGCAGATAGAAAGCAGTAATAAATGAAATTGGGGACTGATGTAATTAGGATAGAGGTGGAGAAAAACTAAGCCAGCTGATCATCAAACAGGACGTCTGGAACCTTCCGACCCGTCTCTCTCTTGCCCATTGCTAGTAAGGTCCTCGAGAAGCATGTATATCGCCAGCTTACTCACCTCCTACTGGAGAACCCCACCATCATCCCGCCACAACAATTTGCGTACAGACGGCATCATTCATGTGAAGAGGCTCTGGCTGTTGCGATCGACAGCTGGCAAAGGGATCTCGATTCGAAGAAGGTCGTTGGCGTCGTTCTCGCAGATGTGAGGAAGGCGTTCGACAGCGTCAACCATCAGCTGCTACTGAACGAACTTTTTAATTGTGGAGTTGGTGATGCGGCTTTGGCATGGTTCAAAGATTACCTGAGTGACAGGACACAGCAGCTCATAGCGCCGGACAATCTGATTCGTGCATCGTGCAGCCAAGGAGTGCCGCAGGGGTCTGTGTTGGGCCCAGTGCTATTCAGCATTTACGTAAGAGGCCTTCCTGGATGTGTGAGTGCCTCATCTGTACTTCAGTTCGCTGACGACGTTAACATGTATGCAGCTGGTGACACTACTGAAGAAGTCGTGGACAAATTGAACGGCGATCTTATTAAGTTATCGGATTATCTGAAAGGAAAGCGAATGAAATTAAATCCGGCTAAAACGAAGTTCATACTGCTCCACCGCAAGACCACCGATGTCCCGATGTCTGCCTATGTCACCATTGATGGTGTCCATGTTCCCCGCACGCAGTCTGCTCGCTACTTGGGTATTGTACTTGACGAAAACTTGACTTTTGGCCCACAAATAGACAACCTTGTAGGCTCTGTCAACAGGAAACTTGGTGCATACCGCTTATCCCGCCATCTTCTGCCATACCATGCTCGGCGTACCTTCTATTTAAGTGTCATTCAGTCAACCTTGGAGTATGCAAGCAGCGCTTATATCCATTCCCTAAGTTCTATGAACTATGATAAGTATGTCCGTTTGTTCAATAGATCCCTCAGAATAGTATTTGGTTTTGATAAGTTTACCAGTGCTTCACACATTCTTAGCCTTTACAGCCTTTATCATGTTTCGGTGCGCGTCAATTTGAAATTGTTCATTCTTTTGTTCCGGTGCATCCATAGCGGAACATGCAGCTCTTTGCTTCAAGAAATCTTTACCAGCCGCTGCTGTAGCTCTCACACCACTGCCACTACGAGATCCCAGGTGTCTTTTTCTTTGGCATTACCCCCAGCACAGAGTACGGCTGGCTTTTCTCGGATTGGCTATCTCGCTGCTGACCGGTGGAATATGCTGCCTTCCACTGTTCGTACTTGTACCGATTACCGCTCATTTATTCGCTCATGCATAACCTTCCTAGGGGCTCCCGTAAGAAGACCATAGGTCTGTGGGAAACACCCTAGTAAAATAAAAGTTAATAATAATAATAACCGTAGAATTGGAGCAGCTGGATATCTTGCTCAGGAAGAAGCTCACCAAGAAGGGATGGCATCACCCTCGGGCTGACAGAGAGAGGGTGCATTTGGTGCGCGCCGAAGGCGGCCGTGGATTCCAAAGTGTGGTAGATCTACATGAACGATCCATCATCCAGATCAATAAATACATCGAGGGCCACCACGACCACATTGCCATTGCTCTCCTAAAACAGTACCATCATGAAAAAGCAAAATACTCTGTCTCCAGTGATGCTGCGAAATATTTGGCAAAGATTGTTATGGAGGAGTCGGCCACAAAGGAGCAAATACGCCAGGGATACCAGCGGCATCGGGAGGAGACAATCAGAAAGAAGCCTCTGCATGGCCAATTTTGGCTTATGCTGCAGGATGCTGAGCTGGATCGAGGGCTCTCCTTTGCGTGGTTGCGGTCTTCCGCTTTGCGTCCGGCGACAGAGAGTATTGTCATGGCCATACAGGACCAGGCTATCCCAACACGGAACTTACAAGAGATATTTAATCGAGGAACAGGTGTGTCAACGAAAACGAGTTGCAGGATGTGTGGCAGGGACAAGGAAACGGTTTTCCACCTTATTGGAGCGTGTACAGCTTGTGCGGGGAGTCACTATATCAATCGCCACAACAGGTTAGCAAAATATCTCCACTGGACATTGTGCAGGAAGTATGGTGCATCGGACATTTCGAATAAGTACACAAGTCACCAACTCACCAACGTCGTGTACAGTGCTGAAACGGATGTGTCAATCTACTGGGAAGTGCCAATTCCAACAGCAGCGCCCGTTGGAGCAAACAGACCCGACATTATTATCAAGGGCAAAGATGAAGCGTTCCTTGTGGACGTAAGTGTCCCTCTGGATAGGAACATCCGCCGAAAATCTGTGGAAAAGATACAGAAATATCAAGGCCTGAAGCGTGAGGTGGAGCAGATGTGGCAGGTGCGGGCCAAGATCGTGCCAGTAATTGTGGGGGCATTAGGTGGATTAACCCCCTCGACTGCTGACTTTGTGAGGGAACTGGATGCCGGAGCCAGTGTATCGATCTTGCAAAAGGAGGCGCTCCTTGGCACAGTTGACATCATCAGGTCAATAACTCAAATGAAATAATAATTACACCCTAATAAGTTACATTGGTTTGCGAATGCCCATGGTTCGAACTATTAGTTGAAGCACCTATTTGCAGAAAATAATATTATGATCGTAATATTAATCACTTGCCAATAACAAAGACAACAATAATACCATCAGCCCCCATTCACCGGTTTTGAAGGTGCTTCACTGATGTTGAATGAGAAGAATTATATTGCTGCCTTCAGTGCTATTGTGTCGCTGAAGGGCTCGATTTCAGATTTGATGACGGTTACTTTTCAACGGATTTTGTTTTCTGATTTAGCTCTCTTGCTATTACTGTACCTGCTTGTGTTAAGTCTCATTCTCGCAGATTAGTTGTATAATAGATTGTACATGCATCATTGTAGATTTGCTGTTCACAGTATTTCTCTCTTTTTTCTTTCTTTTTTCTCAGTCTTCCTTATTATATTTTCTTCACATACAACAGCAGTACTCCCCATGGTCTTAAATGACCCGGGATGCTGCATAATACAAACACAAAACCAATAAAGTCACCCCCATAATAATAACGTTGTGAGTGGCCAACGCGTTACGGTGCTCAGCGCTTGTTCAGCACCTCCATGGCATGAGCGACACTGACTCACCCTGCTACATGTATCTGGTGGCGAGGTGTTTGTCGCGCTGGAAACGGAGCGTCTCTATACATGTACAATTGTACATCAAGTAGCGCATGGCACATAGAAGACCCGCCTGCTATGTCGGATACCGCCAACCATGCATCGACTAGGCGCCAGGCGCGAACTGATGATGGTGGTGCCTGGTGGTGAGAAGGAGAGCTCTGTGCCAGAACTGAGAGCGTGTGTGGGCAGGCGTGTGTTTACCGCCATATGGCCAGGTGTGTCTTTACCACCATATTTATCAACCATAAGTACAGCTGCAGTGGTGTCTTCGACTTCATTCTCCCGAGTCAAGCTCCGTATGAAGACCTCCAAGAAGAAGATTGCCTGATGAGTCCAGCGGGGACAAAACGTACGTCGCAATCGAGCTATGTCGCTGCTGTGTCATCTTCTATGTGCCATGCGCTACTTGATGTACCAGCCTGCTATGTCGGATACCGCCAACCATGCATCGACTAGGCGCCAGGCGCGAACTGATGATGGTGGTGGTGAGAAGAAGAGCCCTGTGCCAGCACTTTGAGAGCGTGTGTGGGCAGACGTGTGTTTACCGCCATATTGCCGGGTGTGTCTTCACCACCATAATATAATCAACCATAAGTACAGCTGCAGTGGTGTCTTCAACTTCATTCTCCCGAGTTAAGCTCTGTATGAAGACATCCAAGAAGAAGATTGCCTGATGAGTCCAGCGGGGACGAAACGTGAGCTATGTCGTTGCTGTGCCATGCGCTACTTGATGTACCAGCCTGCTATGTCGGATACCGCCAACCATGCATCGACTAGGCGCCAGGCGCGAACTGTTTTGACATAATAATCTTTAATAATCTCATAACATTACCGTGGCCCCCACCGTTATTAAAATTTGATACTACTGTACCAAGAGTATAATTTTATTATACTCTTGATACTAGTCTACGAACCTATGGCTTCTGTGCTTCGTGTGCTGAAACAGGACTTAGAGTGGCTGTGGGAGCACAGACTGCCGAACCAGACGAGCCTCAGGCTCAGTCTGGACCGAGGTCGACAGGCTAGCTAGTCGCGAGGTCGAAGTGACGCAGCGCCGGACGACGAAGGGACCGTGATCATCGGACACAACGTCACCTGTAAAAAAAAAATGCCAGGCAGGCTGAGGCAGCACCGCAGCCAAGCCACAATCCGGCAGCATTGCGTTTGGTGGCCAGGACGTATTTTAAGGCTGCGTCTGGGCCCCATGCACGGTGTGACCACAGGACATGGACGGTGTGACCAGGCCGTGAGGGAGTGGTATTGTACTACTCCCTGGTGTAACGGAGCAATGCTCGACTTCGAGGACACTTTCACCGTATGCTCGCTTCTTCTCGCCTTCAAACATTGGGTACGAGTAGAGAGACGGTATTATCAATATGCGTGTTTAGAGAGACGTAGACGGGACTCGTCACGGGAGGCGCACCAGCGATCGCTTGACCAGTGGGGACAAAAAAACCTACTACTGTACATCACTACTACAGTACTACTACTAGTACAGACTCAGTATACATTGTAGTGTCGAAGAATGCATTGCAGCTACATACATGTACATGTACATGTATGGGTCCAGAATGATTCACACTCATACTGTCAGGTGTCATAATAGTATAGGCTACTTATTACAATCATGTACTTTCATCACAGCAAGAGTATAGTGACTCCTGCCATGGCATGGGTCAATATGAATCATCGTGCACTCAAACAGTTTTTTTAGGTACAGTCGTCCCTCTCTAATCCGGCACTTTATAATCCAGCACCCTCGATAAACCAGCACAATTTTCAGTAGCCAAAATGTCCTCTTCATGCACATTGCAGCAGTAAATCAGATTTGTTAATCCAGCACCCTCCCTAATCCAGCAGATTTTCGTGGCACAAATGGTGCCGGATTATAGAGGGACCACTGTATTAGATAATCCAATACTAGTACAGTGTCCTCCACCTTGTTTCATGCTGTCAAACCAACAACAGGTATTACCATGTACATGTACCAGTACTAGCAAGAGTATATCCCAGACAGTTGATTACTACTTGTAGTATATTCTTGCCAATACTGGCAATAGCTAGCTGTCCAAGCACAAAACATTAATGATTCTTACATGACACGTGATCGTTGCCGGGGGCCATGGCCAATAGGCGATCTTACCGCCGCGGGCATAATCAGGCCATCAGGACCGTTTGACGTCATTTCGGGAGTTTCAGAACCGTTTGACGTCATTTCGAGAATAATTTTTCGACCTTCGACCTTTCCACCTTTGACCTTCCCTAATATGTTGCTTCGCGCTGTAAGAAATCAAATCAAGCACGCTCTTCTCTGTCATGATGGCTGAATCTTGCCCTTGCCTGCAGCCCTCGGGCCTACGGCCCTTGCCCCTTGGGCTGCAGGCTCGGGCAAGATTCAGCCATCATGACCTCCTGAGCTGAGCGTGCTTGATTACATACTTTCATGTTGTACAGTCATGAGACATGACTCTATAATACTATCATTACATTCACTGTACTTGACCTACTTCCCTGCTTGAACCAGCTACCACTTCGTGAACAACATGTACATGTGAAGTAATAATATTAATAATATTAGGCCAAGTAAAAAAAAAAGCTAGATGATCGTCCCCGTCCGCCCCAGTTTTTGTCAGCGCCCCAAGAAATATTTTATTTTTTAAATCGTGAGTTTTTGCCGAAATCGTTGGTTTTTTACCGATCGCGGATGCAGGAAACATGTGCACGCTTTGTTTAATACTTTCTTTACTATATGGACCACATACTACTAGTATATCACAACGTCAGTATCGATCTGCTGAAGAAAGAAAAAGAAAAAAAGAAAAAAAAAGAAAAAAAGAGAAAAAAAACCTTGATGTTGTTGTGTACACTGTGTGCATGAGAGGGTAAAAAGTAAAAAAATAAAAATAAAATCCTCCCGCCCTCCCCGATTTTTCCAAAAAAAAGGACGATCATCTAGTAATTTTTTTTACTCGGCCTTACCGCAGTTGAAGTGCTTGCTCATCAGATTCTTGATGCTTCACTGAACTAGTCTAAAGAGTAAAGTCAAGCACAGTAATTAAGTGTCGATCGAATCTGATTCAGTGACACTACTTTCTGAATAACCCTCCCACGCTATCCCCACAAACAATTACGTGTGACAAGCATGACCCATGATGACAGGTTCAAGCCATCACTGTTATACATGTAGTTATGCGTATTGATATTGACATGCACACATGTCATCATACATGTACCTAGTACCTGTACTGTCAGTTCACTGAACTGACAGCAGCTCTCATCCTAGCCAACTACTAACTAGCTAACCTCCAGACGAAGCGAGTATCAAGCAAGGAGACCCTCACAATGCATCATTGCATGACTACACGATCGATTGTAGTCTGCAATATCCTACATAACATTGTACAATCTACACTCGTTTCCCGTGTTGTCAGTGTTGGTTGTGGCCTGCACTAGCTTGCAGCCTAGCCTGCGATGTGGCACTGTCTTTACACTGACCTGTACGGCTGTAGCTCGAGTCATGTGACTCATGTAGCTGCTCGACAACACTCAACAGACAGCGCCGACGCACTCGAAATGACCAAACGTCCAAAGAAGAGGTCAAGGACGATGCAGAAAGCGCCGCATCCTGAATGCTTGGATGTGTTGACACAGCATGCACACGTGGATCTACATGCACTGCATGCACGGAATCTGATGATATCCATCATGTGATATGACGAATGGCATTTCGCTAATGTATTTCTGTGTGCATTGCCATTGCCCATTGGTTGTGCATGTGTGCTTGCATGCTGGCTCTAGACTCTGCTCTGCCGGCCCACCACCAAAAGGCACCATGGCATGAGACCACAGCTCAGATAGATAGTGAGTCTGACGTAGTGACGATGACATTCACAATGATGTCGTGATGTCACATGAAGGCTAAGCTATAGCTAGCTGAGGTGTACTTTTGCTTGCGATACCGAACATTCGCTAAAAGTAAACAAAAAGCCAAGTCGGATCAGTCTCGCCTTGATCTCGCGTTTGGTCGTAAACTGATCTGCTACTGTGCTGGAGCAAAGGAGAAGAAGGCTGAAGTGAAAACTATAGTGTGCTGATCCATATCCGCGCTAAGATTTGGCAGAAAGTCTATCCGCATTTGTGACGTGGTATTCTAGCTTAGGTTACGTTGTACAACGTGTTGTGTTGCTCGCTGCAAGACGGTGTTTGAAGCCACGTTTTCCTGACACTCTGCGACGAAAATGGCTGATCTGGAGCGCGCCCCGCTGGTTACAGAAGAAGGTAAGCCGCTGCTAGGCAGTCCTTGCTCTCGATATCTTCCAGCACCAGTTGCCAGTGTAGGGCTGCTAGTTAGCTAGGATAGGAGAATCGCTCTTGCTTGGCACGCTGAGGACACGAAGCTGAAGCGGAACTTGCGGGCCTCGTGAGGACACTCTCAGCGAACTGCTGTCAGTTCTCTTCAGTATTACTTGCCAGATCAGAGCCCATCGGCATCGGCTCGTATTACAATTTATTCAGAGATTGTTGACGAGTGCTAAATGTTACGTACAGCACCTACACAATAGACATCCAGTAGTTGTGCTGGGTCAACCGCAAATAGATAATACTGAGTTGCCAGTCTAGTTGTTGGCTAGTTATTCGCGGTGCTGCTAGTTAGACTAGAGTAAGGTAGGGCTAACAAAACAGTGTCCCATCTATGGCATCTTAGACTGGACATTTTATGTCAGCCTTGCCTTGCATAACCCTGCCTCCTTTTAAAATAATAATTCTTATGTTGAGTATTGTAACTATTGTTTACGTACTAGCAAGAGTACATAACCCCCCAGAGTGTGCAACGCCTGATCCAGCTCTGCATACTAGTGCATAGGGTCTTGGTCGAGCGGAATCGGATCTTTGCGTCATAATACCGTACACATCTGAGGGGAACCCGGGGAGTCGCGGGTACTCTTGGATCAAAAACAATGGTGCCCTGCCTCGAGACCGGCCTTGCGCTGGTGTGAAGTGTACGCATGACATCAGAAGATCCGATTCCGCTCGACCAAGACCCTACACAGAGCTGGATCGGCGTTGCACACTCTGGGGGGTTATGTACTCTTGGTACTAGTATACAATATTTTCCGGAGTATAAGGCGCACTGGAGTATAAGCCACACCCCCCTTTTTTTTACACGAAATACAGACATCTACCCTATTAATTATATCATTGTTAATTTAAAATGACTCTTCAGGTGTGCAGTAAGTACTCAGCTGGCGAGCCAAGGAAAATATTAAATTGAAACAAGGAAAACGGTGGGGCACAAGTTATGCGTTAGAGTCCACCTAGTAAACCAGGTTTTTGAACAGTCAGACGTGCACAAGGTAGCACCAGGCTGACAAGGAGTACTGAGACATTCCACGGCAAGGAAGTGAGCTTGAGCACTGCTCGGTAGCGCTAACCAACGGCCTTCCAACTTGGAAGGCTCATGGATATTAGTGATGATTCCAAAGAGGGGAAGGTAAGCACCATCAAGCCGAACACAAGCTACATTCCAAGGCCTCTTTGGAATTATCGCTAATGTCCATGAACCTTCCAAGTTGGAAGGCCGTTGGTTAGCACTGCCGAGCAGTGCTCAAGCTCACTTCCTTGCCGTGGAATGTCTCAGTACTCCTTGTCAGCCTGGTGCTACCTTGTGCACGTCTGACTGTTGAAACCTGGTTTAGTCGGTGGACTCGCAGAACTTGTGCCCCACCGTTTTCCTTGTTATGTTCAGCGGGCCTAGACAATGGTGCATGCTTGATCGGATTCATTTTGATTGTCGTGCTACTTGTAAACTTACGATTCTCTCGTAGATATGATTCTGCTGGTGATTCTACACCTATTCTCTCGTAGATATGATTCTGCTGGTGATTCTACACCTATTGTCCGCCACCAAACCCTAGCAATGGGCATGGATGATGGTGAAGTTCATACAGTACATGTGCAGTTCTGGCCAGAGAAACCCAACCCCATGAATATTGTAACGCCGCGTTATTTTATTCCAGAGGTTGGGTTTCTCTGGTCAATAGTAGTAATGTATTATGCAGACAATCATGCTGGTGAACATGATATAGTTTTCTCGAAAATAATGAAGGAGTACCAAATAGACAATGTTCGTTTCATGGGTGACGTAAACTTTTGCAACGACCCCCTTAGCTCAATCATTTCATGAACTTGCCTCTGTAGCAAAAACATTCTGTCGCAGTACAGTCGTTTATGATGCTGTTAACATAAACACTCACTGCCTCCTTGCCCATCTTTCGTGCTTGGTTTCTTGCAGTGGCCATTGTAGACCCTTCTACGGTCGCCCAGCCCCCGCCACCATACTCTGAGGAGGACAAGGATGTCAACGCCGACGTGCAAAACCGTCGGCGTGTGGCGTGTCAGGTGTGTCGGACGAACCTGACGTTCGCCGACCGCTCTGGTCTGCGCGTGGTGACGTGCAGTCGGTGCCAGGAGGCCACGGTGAGTGTAGCCTAGGGGGCGTGCGTGCGCTGCCACGTGCAGGCATTCTATGTCGTAAGCGAGCACTGCCGCGTTCCTGCGGTATTGTGATACATGTAGGTGTATGGTCCCTACAGACAGGTGGTCCCTACAGACAGGTGGTCCCTACAGACAGGTGGTCCCTACAGACAGGTGGTCCCTACAGACAGGTGGTCCCTACAGACAGGTGGTCCCTACAGACAGGTGGTCCCTACAGACAGGTGTGGTCCCTACAGACAGGTGGTCCCTACAGACAGGTGGTCCCTACAGACAGGTGGTCCCTACAGACAGGTGGTCCCTACAGACAGGTGGTCCCTACAGACAGGTGGTCCCTACAGACAGGTGGTCCCTACAGACAGGTGGTCCCTACAGACAGGTGGTCCCTACAGACAGGTGGTCCCTACAGACAGGTGTGGTCCCTACAGACAGGTGGTCCCTACAGACAGGTGTTCCCCACAGACAGGTAGTCCCTACAGGCGTGTTGTCTCTTATTGCAGTGGTTGCTAGCTGCAGGTCTCACTGTGCTGTACTTTGTGAATGTGTGGTTCGCATGTTACTGTTATAGCCTGTAGGCGCTCCTCCAGCAGGCAAGAAGTACGTTCGCTGCACGTGCAACTGCTTGCTGACGTGCTCCACCACTGCACGGCAAATCATCTGCCCCAGGGCGAACTGGTAAGTCACGTATCATGATTGGGAATTGCAAAGACCAGTTGCTTACTAAGCAGGTCTGGGCATAATAAGTACATGCACTCCTGGCAGACACGCTGTATTAAATACGTTGAATTCAGCTCCCGTTATAGGGTTCTTGGTAAACCAGCGCTTTGGCCGAGTGGTTGTGGGCTTGCCTACGAATCACAAGGTCCCGAGTTTAAGACCCGCGCTGGGAGCAGGGAGCATGTACTGTGCTATCAAATGCGGTGATGCATTCGTGAACCACTATACATGCAAGGAACTGCGCCGACAACCACGGTCAACTGGGTACTCACTCGGAGTGAGGGTAACATGAATGCAGCTAACGAGGTTCGTCCCCTTGTCGGGCATTGGTTGTCAGAGTTACCACCTCACCCTCGCAGTAGGCGCTGCATCTGCCACCCTGGTATCACAGGCAAGGTGGTGGCCTGGCACAAGCGAAACTAACTTCCTATTCTCAGTATAATTGTATAGCCGGTTGTAACGTGGACATGCAAACTTTGCTACTTTTAGTAAACCAGTAAAATTAACTTGTAAACTAAGAACCCTATCGGGAGCTGAACTCAAGTCTTTGTGGTCCACTTTCACGACAATAACACACACAGAAGTCTCTGCTGTGAGCACGGTGGCCGTTGGAAAGCGTACCCTCTCTGAGCTTTCTTGATTTGTCTCTTCCTGGACTTGCATTGTCCTGTAGTATGTGTACATACACTGACACAGTGCACTGAGGGGGGGGGGGGTAATATAATAATTATTGCCTTTCATGTCCACTCAACAGTGGTGCTAAGATGAGGGAGGAGGGGGCATCAACTCGCCTTTGCAATTCACCACTGCGGCTAGTACCGGCGGAATATTATGGTATTGGTTCATTTGGCGAGACGATTGTTCGTGTACTATATTTATTTATTCAACATCTTATGGCTTCCAATAGCAGCCAAAACGGGAAGATGTGGGTGATAGCCAACCATGGTAAAAGAAGGAGAAGATTATATACATGAAAAGGAAACAGCCGAAAAGCTATATTGATTTAATGGTTTTTTTTCATTATATGCCCGTGATTCTTATTGTGATTTGTGACTATAGTAATTAATCATTGATCTGGGTGCATGTTTGTGTGTATGTGTGTGTATGTGTGTGTGTGTGTGTGTGTGTGTGTGTGTGTGTGTGTGTGTGTGTGTGTGTGTGTGTGTGTGTGTGTGAACATGTGTGAACGTGTGCACACGTAACGTGATGCGCGGGTATATGCGTATGCAGCAAGCGCACCGTCAGTGTGGGTGGAGGCACGTCCACGGATCGCGTGACTTGTCGGAACTGCAACGTCACCACGCGGGTAGGTGAACATGTATGCTGTGATACTTCGTCCATTGTCATGATTGGGCACTACAGTCTGTCCACAAAAAGAATGCAGTGTGACTTTTTTCATATATTTCACAAGTGGGAATTGTGAACAACACAGCCAAAATTGAGGTGGATGCACAATAGAGTGCTCTTCGTTTTAAAAGAAAAAAAAAGTATCAAAAAAGATGACTTGGCCCAGTGCAAACAAAGTGAATGACTTTCAGTTATCATGAGATACTGTAAATATACAAAAATTCGGCACTTCACGATTTTTGACATTTCGGCGGCGATTTATTTTCGGCGTGGGGTAGAGGGCATGGTATAGTGCGACAGATGCTGTGAAAAATTTCATCGGCGTTTTAATTTAGGCGTTTTGGGTCGGTGCCGAATATAGCCGAAATTAAATAGCTGCCGAAAATGTGTATATTTACAGTACACTGCATTCTCTTTGTGGACAGACTGTAAGTTTACCCAGCTATGTATATAAGTCAAGTAGAGAATGTTCTTGAATCACCAGTGCTGGAAAAAGAAAGAAAAAAGAAAAGAAGGACTAGTTTGAAAAGGCAGCGAGCCGGTGACAACGGGTTTAGGATGGCAATACACAGAATCGGCTGAAGCGACATGTTACGAAGGTTGTATTATTCACCACTTCACATCTCAATAAAACCTTCGTAACATGTCGCTTCAGCTGATTCTGTTTATTGCCATCCTAGAAGGACTGGTACGTTTATTATACACATGTACTTTGTGTGTGGCAAGTGCGAAGTCGTTTTGATTATGCAAAACATGTCTTCTCACCTCCATCCTCCTTGTTCCTTGAATAGATTGCCACTTGGACTGGCACATGAGTGCCCACAGCCACGATTGCGTTGCATGATAGCAGTGAGCAAGGGTAGAGATAGCCCATGGCATGAGTAGGTCATCCGGCACTGGTTACCGTAGTGACGCGCATTTTTAAAGCGCATGTGCATATCCGGGCATAAGCACCCACCCACATATAAGTGCATGGGATAATAGGTGAGCTCAACCCCGTGACACACTGATGCCACCATGATAATATTATTATCATTTTACAGGATTTCATGTGCACATTTTTCAAATTCCACACTGGTAACTCACTTACAAGCGCGTGCGCCTATATCTGACACCAATCGACCTTTAAAAAATAGCAAATATGGCAAAATCTCGCTTATAGGCACATGGGCTTACATGTGGGTCACTGCGGTACTAACAACATAAACTGACTGTAGTATCGTAGACAAATGGTATCCATTCTTGTAACTGTGTGTCTCTGCTGCTTGCATCTTTTTTCTCTGTTTATTTTGCAGTGGACGGCTCGTGGGTATAGTTCTCGGCGGTGTTCGAGGTGCCATTCCTTGTGAGTTGATGCATTTCTGCATACAGCTGCAAACGCTGTACTGTTTGTACTGGTGTGTGTGTGTGTGTGTGTGTGTGTGTGTGTGTGTGTGTGTGTGTGTATAATTATATTGCCTTCCGCAAAAAGATTAAAGCTGCAATTTTGAACTGCTATCCTACAGTATCCCCCATTGTAATTATATATATATATGTATGTGTGTGTGTGCGCGTGTGTGTGTGTGTGTGTGTGTGTGTGTGTGTACATGTGCCCGAGCGTACATATGTGCGTACGTGTATGTGTGGATATGTTGAGAGGTGTACTCCCCTAATGTGATTGTCCGCTTCAAGGACTATTTTATCGGAAGTGTTCGCTTTTAAAATTGCCAGTGCTTATCAGTTGACTCAGACACTACACGCAAAAACTTGGGTTCCATAGTTCTGCTTGCCTTCTGATCTATGCACCTCCTCTTTGTCAACATTTCGCATATGCTATTGTAGCCATGACCAATTTCGAAATTCCAGCTTTTTTAGGATCTTGATGGTTTGTCCTCTTTTCTTTAATATTTTCAGAATGCCAATCAGCGAAGAAATGATGAAGTTTGCTCGGGGTCGTGCCATTCTTTTCATTATCCTTGGGTTGGTGTGCACCCTTCTGGCCATTGGTGTTTTGGTAAGTACTTCGAATACAATACACCAGTAATTGCTGGTGACCATAAAATGTCCATGTGGCGAGTTTATTTAATTAATCATTTTCCCCGGCTGTTGGTTTGTATGTAATTTCCGTTTGTAAAGTCCAGTCATGCAAGGCAGTGGAGGTGATGATCAGACGCACCATATTTAGCTCACTGAGACAAGACATATTTTTGCATCACCAGCCATTATATCCACTTTGCTTCACTATGCCATGGACTTCAGTTTACTTACGCTCACCAGTTCTACTCTCCCCCCCCTATCTTTTCCTCACTCTCTCCCTGAGCTGATACATGTACCTTTCCTTTGTTCGATACTGCAATGTTGAATGTCACATGAATGCTAGTACTGCTGCGTGTAACAAAGTACATAGTGGTTTACAGCTACCAAACTCCAAAGTTTTACAATCATTGCTGGAATGCACTGAGACTAGGACTGATGCGAGTGAAACGCAGGTCATTTTTAGTAGATTAGATTTGCTTCTAGGTATCCGTTTCCCAGCTGATCGACGGTTTGTTTGGTTTGTGTGCGCTCGTTCCCTGTAGGTGGCTACAATCCTCTACGCACCGTATGGAGGTAAGATGGAGTGATGCCGACACAGCCTGTGCTTGTCAATTACTTTACGTCCTGTTTCTTGTTTAGATCTAGTACTGGTACAATTTAGGTTTGCATTCAGTATGCACTACTATAGCTGTACTTCAAAGTTGCAGTCTAAAAAGAACTGGTCCACCGCCTCTCATTTTTCGGTGACCATGCAGCTGAGGATCAATCTGTCGCAGTCTTTCAATACGGACAGGTGTCCCGGACTGTTGAAAACTAGGGTGGATAGTGTCACAGTATATTCAACATATCTAGCCAATGAGGACTGTTCGAGACCTACATTGTGATTAGACTGACAACACTATCTCAGACTGCATTTTCAGCTTCATAGCAATTGCGGAAAATTGGAACCCACACAAAACTGACTTGCTGACCATTCCATTTTTCTCCCTGTCTTCTTGGCCGTTGTTTGCTTCTGTCCAGTGGTCGCCGTCCCTATCGGTAAGATTTTGAATGATATGCCGTTCTATTACCTGTAATCAAATGTTCAGAGCCTGCAGCCTTCTATGCCACGTTCTACTCTGAGGAGGCTGCCCGGATTGATTGTTCCCATGATAAACCAGGGACTTTATTTACGCTTGTTACTGTGGGACCATCGCAATCAGTGTATTCAGCACACGACCGGCATTAGAACTTGAATTTAATGCGGCCAAGAACTGGCCAGGCTCCCTGGTCAGTCTCATAGTACCAGTACATCTACATGCCGTCTTTGCACATATTCAGTGATATGCTGAGCATGGACATGAGGCCGTGACTTTGTAGCTGCTCTCCCCAATCATATGAGCACTCTATCTCACTCCTTCCTTCCTCACTGATTCCTTCCTTCTTCTTTTTTCTTGATCCAACCTGGTGCATTTTAACTGCACTGACTCTGAGACCGATATCATAACACATAAGATCGCCGGTACGGTCAGGTCTCACCCTGACTTCCGTTGTCCTACCCAGTCATTATACATTCCGACATGTCTGAAGGTCGGTGGTTGTGTACTTCAGTAAAAAAAAGGGAGAAAAGAAAACATCCTTACAAGCCCATCTAGCAAGGCCAACTGTGTTTCTGTGTTTCTTCGATGCGGGACATGTTGTGCAGGTCTCTTCTCAGCCGGAGTGTACTTCTTTGCTCGAGCGGGCCTATATCTCTGTTCAGTGAGCGGCGCAACCATCGAATGAATTTCTCGCTAACTACAGCACGTGTAGGTACACCTCATCCATGTGTCTATTCCGCAGTGGTAGCAGTCTTGTACGCGTGCATGTGATTGCAACATGGTAACCATGCTCCAAAGCTGGAATGAATTTTGTTGATGGATTAGTCCTGATCATAGTCTGCATCAATTCAGAAACTTTCTCATTCTCCCTTCACGCTAGTTGTTTCTTGGTGTTGAGACTTGTTTCGTCATTCCTGTCGCTCTACTCCTCAGTTTTCTTGCTTTGACGGTTTGCTGTGACCACCTCTGTGCTATTCATCCTTGATAAGCATGAATACAATTCATTGTGTCCTGTTCAGATTATAATTCATAGCTGTGAATTGTCCTAATTGGTTTAATTAATAGCCAATCCATCCTGACAAACCTGGAAGTCCTGGACATAATAACACTTCGCTGTCTGGCTGCTTGCATTCATTCCTGCCCAAGCTGCCGATACAAGTACAAACTCTGCCCATACAGTTTGAGAGCATTGATACACAGTGTGCTGTCCTTGCCCAGTGGCTGGCAATAGTAGCATGGTAGTACCAATTATTGCAGCTGAATAATGTTGACAGTACACCAGGCCAGATGATCGAATGATTCCTGATTACTAGCAAGTCACATTTTTTTCTAATTGTTCAGCTGCTATGAAGCGCATGCACCCCTGCTCTATATACAGAACTTAAAATCCATTTCCCTTACCCAGCTATGCCTGCCAGGCTCTTCGCCGCATACTGCTCCCATCATTAGCACATGACGTCATTACTAGTTAGGCTCATTACTCTTATCTGATTTTTCTGAGTTTCTATTCGCCTGTCATCCATTGATTTTTTTTATGGCCTGCTTTTACATTCCTAGAATCTAGACGGGCGTCACCATGGTCACTGGTCTGCAGCTGTTCAAATCATTCACTTGGTAAACATACATGTACTTTGTACCCAGGCAGACTGGGAAGATTATGTACATGGTTGTACATGATTGTATGTAACACGGGACGGTCTCTCCTTATTTGTGAGACTAGCACTGGGGTTTGGAGGGCGGGTATCATGTATGACCCAGTGAGAACATCATCAGGCCGTGAGAGTTGTTAGCCATGTGATGATGTCGTATACAAGTTTGTTACCAGTACAGTCATGTGCCTACACACATGTACAAAGTCATGTACATGTAGATCTACTCTGCCCCTTCCCTTCCTTCTTATCTACTGTTCCTAATATTTCCTGCTGCACTGGTCTGGAGTGTAACTGAAGCCAAGACCTTAGGCCGGCAACGATACAGTCCAGTTTCGCCACCTCTACCATGCAATATTCTTCTCTTGAGGTTTGTGGTTTCTCGTGAAAAAAGTACAATATTAAATGTAGATAACTACATGATACACAGTCATTGTATTAGCAGATCTCCTAGCACTCGCACTACCGGTGTATACACGTACAATGTAGATAGGCTTTGGCCTTTGCCTTTGGTGGGATATCCCTTTTTCTCAGAGTTAAAACTTAAAAATACAATGGGCAGCACAGAATAGGTGATTCGATGAGCGGGCAAGTGAGAGGGAGGGAGCAGAGCTACAATGAAGGGTGTGTGGAAGTGCGGAGTGAGGGTGGGCAGGCGTAAGTGAGAGGGCGGGCGGGCGTACACTGAGGGAGAGAAGGAGGGTGACAGGGGAAACCCACTTTTTGCTTGCGGGCAGGTACGGAATCGTCACAAGTTACGTGCAGGCTCGTGAGAAGCGAGCATGCAGACAGCGTGTTACAACATGAAGTGCATAGTCATGTACATGTAGGTCGACATGATACATGTGGCTAATGTGGGATACATGTACCAATAAAGTGTGCAGACACAATGGCAATGACTCATTACTGTGCCCAGAATTTCACGGGCGGTGATGGTGGTGGTGATGACATTAATATGCCACCCAAGCCGCTGATCTGCCAAGCCGTCCAGTGGGCATCAGCACATCCTTTTGACAGGACTGCCAACCCTGTCCACTCCTGGACTCCTGGAGGGTGCGAAAACGCGGCACGTCTCTCTGCCTGTCAAACCAGTGTCCTGTCAGTCGGCATAATCTCTGAGGGAGAGCTGCGCTAGGCATGGGAATGCACTGTACTGGGAAGAAAGAAACATTGATTGAAACTCCCAGGGAGTACTAGTCCGTCGTGCTTGAAACAAGCTGATTTGTACTTCAAGTAAGAAAGCCTCCACGATAGATCCGCAAGGAGCTCAGTGCCCAAATAACAATACATGATGATGTACTGGACACGTACGAAGGTCCGAGGACCCTAGCTCGAGTACTGTAGGTGACACTTTCTCCCTTTTCATTCGCCAGAGATCAAACTGATAATAAATATTATGATGAATCATGGCCTGCCTCCTTAGTTAATTGGCGATGGAACACGGCCCTGCATCACTGCAATGATAACGCGCAGATCTAGTTCACTACAAAGAGTACGTGTATATATAAATGCGCGTATTGTCACTGGAAACCGTTTCAAACGTCCACAACCTGCTACATGTGCATGCATTGCATTGGGGAGGGGGTGGAGTTGCAATTTTATCACTCCATGCTGAGCTTCCAATCCTTTTTATCCGTATTTCGTCCTTCACGGTTTGCTCGAGACTCAGTTAGACCGAGTGTTCAGTATCCATAGGAACGCCACCATGCAAAGATCAAGGCGCAGATGCAGCTCATAAAGCGGTGGGAGGTGATTAGATCAGCCCACCAGCAAAGTGGTCAAAGCCCGAAAATCCCATTCGCTGCATCCATGTTACCTCGTGCCAGGCCACGTGTTCCCTGTGGATTCGTGGACTCGTCCTTTGCTTTGGTCCAATCCTAATTGATCTACTAACGTCCAACCAACCTCACGAATAACAACCCCGGATATAACAACTCATGGATAACTGAAACCAACAAAGGTGGCAGGTACAACATTACTACACCTTCATTCAATCATCAGGCTTCAAACAGCCGAGCCAGTTGGCAACAGACCCAACACCCATTTCTACTTCCATTTTCTTTTTTCTATTTTCTTTTTTCTCTTCATTTCCGACTATTCTTACTGGTTGTCATCGCTTTCATAATGGGCAGAACTGCCCGTTTGACATGCGATGTACAATAAATAAACAACAACAACAACAACAACAACAACAACAACAACAACAACAACAACAACAACAACAACAACACTACTACTACTAGTGCTACTACTAGTACATTGTACTAGTAGTAGTGCACGTAGACCTACATGTACGTAGACCTACCCACCAACCAAACAGTAACACTACATGTAGCTGGCACACGCACGCACACACACACACACACACACACACAGAAAGCACGTGCAGCACGGTAACTGCGCTGCAGCTCGCTGCTCAATGAAATCCGATCCAGTGGGTCAAGTATGTGACCTGTAAGGCTGTATGCGCCTGGTGCTGTGCAGCTGTGGCGCATGGCTGTGTACATTGTGAGGTCATACTGCTTTTTTCGGACGCGTCGCATTTCGGACTTGCAGTCTTCATGAATTCAGCCGTTCACTGTTCAGCCTCAGGTCTTGCATTGACAAGACTCAAGAGTCTGACCTACCAACCGCGCGCGTGTCACCCACACTACTCTACAGACGTCAGTCAGTGCACCTAGTTTACATGATTGTACTTCTGCATCTGCCATGAAGTAACATAATCATTACTCATTACACAGTTAGTTCTGGCTCAAGACAGTCAAGAGTCAGTCAAGTCTAGACAAGAGTCAAGATCACAACAAGACCTTCCCAACCCAAACTCACTGACCAGTATAGTAGTCTACCAGTGACCAAGCACCTCCGATCCTTATCGCCCCAGCGCCGCTGCAGCGGTCCACATGGCACGCGTTGACCATTCAAAACGACATGTTGTTTCCTAGATCCTGCGCATAGCAATGCGCACCGTTTCAGACTGCCTACCCGTACCCGTACCCGGATTACAAGTACATGACTGTCACAAGTGGAGTAGTCAAGCGTTCTTTGTACTGTAAATAATTGTAGGCGCTACGCGCGCCTAGGCTACAGTACTCAGTAGTCAGTGCATACAGTAGGCGAAATCTTTCTCTATTTCCGTTTGCGTGCGCGCCTTTCCTGGAGTTTTAGCACTGCATGCTGCAGCCGTCACAGGGTAAGGTTTACCTAACATGAAGTAACAACATTAGTTAGTTCAGTATTAGTTGAACTGCAGCCGGAGTGAGTGAAGTCCTTGAGTTGAGATCATTGCGGATTCGCTGTACTCTCTCTGCAGACATTGCAGTGCACGGCTTTAGCCATAAGTGTAACTGTTTCCGCTGTTCGTGAGCGAGTCGCCTGGGTGGTATCGTTCGGCGATTGTCGGCGTGCCTAGCGCCTGACGCGTTGCCTCCAAGCTCTTGCCATTTGCAGGTGGTGCCCCCCGAGTACAGTAGACACGGCTGATTGATCTGCAGCTCACAGCACAGCCTCACAGGCTCGCGAAAACCATTAGTGCAATTTGTAGTCCACTAAGCACACTCCACAACTCCTGCTTGGTCTACACCACAATACTAGTATTACTACTACTACTAGTACTACTAGTGTGGTTGACTAGCGCTGCCCCAGCTGCCCTAGCTGCCCCAGCGACGTTCCATGATCAACAAAGCATAGCAGTGAGCTGGCAAAGGCTTGGGTCGTTGGGACCACGGCAAAACTGTACATTCGTTGCGTACATCTACTGTGTAGTGACCGCCGGAGAAAAGGACGGTGAGGCGGCCTGGCCCTAAGACAGTAAGAGTAGGCTAAGTGCTGAAGTCGTGGCCGTGTGTTACTTTTAGCACCAGTGTACTGGATCGATCCACACCTGGAAAAAAATATCCCTCTGCCCACATCCTAGTGGCGCGCGTTGTGGCGGTGAGGCGCGTTGAGGCGGTGTACCTGTTACTAGCTGAGTGGGTGCTGTTGCTGCGTGTGTTGAACAAGACGAGGAGGCAGAATGGCGGCCAGCAATGGAGGTGCTCTTGCTGGGCAGCTGATTGCAGTTGGTCTGCTGTTAGTTCTGAGCACAGTGCATGGTAAGTAAGTAGTTAGTGTGGAAGGTTAGTGTTGTTCCTAGCTACATTGTGTACCATGGCTCCGTTGATGTTGATCTGGCTTGAGCCAGTTTTCCACAGAATAGGACAATGACTATGTGCCTAATCGTATTGCCACTATTGGATATGAAACTAGGAAGCCGCCGCGATATTTGTACGTGAAATGGTCACCTGAGCGCCTGGCAGAGTAACTTCTATCGAGTTTTTGTGGAGCTGTACACCAATCCGTATCAAAGATAATCATTAGTTGTGCACGAGGTTCTCTCAGTTATCCAGGGATGGGAGAATAACAGCTGCCGTTGAGGATTTCCTCTGGGATTTTTTTGTGAACAGCCCCGCCTCCATGCCACCCAGTCGCACTCGCGTTCCACTTCCAGGCGAAATGTAGCGAGCAGCTCACGTACTCACGTACTGTTCACATAACATCAGACTACTGTTACTTGGCCTGTCTTCACGGGAGCAGACTGACTACTCTTTGTACTTCGTTCTGGCAGTGGCATCATGTAGATCTTCGTGTAGTTCATGATTAGTTTTCACGGCACCTACACGAGTAGTTGGGCTGTAGAGATGTGACGGAGCTTCGACCGTGATCCAGTCATTCAGGTCGTGTAGTTACCTGTTGTGAACTAGGTCAGTACCAGTAGTACAGTACTAGTTATACAATGATTATGTAGGTGTCCTGCATGCACAGCCTTCAACTCGTCCTAACCTGTTCGCGTGTGTAGTTGCACTGGCAGCGCTGTCCAGCAGCCACCCTCTCTTCGCCCCGTTCTTGTTCTACGGTGTATGTTCTACGCGATCGATTTTCAGAGACATTTCGAATGATGCTCGAGATCTGCTTTACAAGCCCGGGTAGCTCCATCGAATCAGGTTCTAGCCTGGATAGCTCTAAAACGCCTCTTGCGCCGTTTGATCGCGATTTGACCTTGTTTTAGGCGTGCCCGTTCTGAAAATCGGACACCGGACTTTGCGTGTGTCGATCGAGTGTAGCACTGGTTCGGAGTCATTTGGTTTGCGACTCATTGCGACGCTTTGAGTTCGAGGACGGTCGGTGTGCCCCAATGAGTGATGAAAATGATTTGTGTAGCGCTGCAGGGGAGAATGTAAAATTGCAAATATGTAATCAGGCAATGCCAGGTGCTGTCTAGCCTGATCCTGAAGTAAGAATATATTATGGTCCCCTGAACGACGTGACAACCAGCACAGTCTGTGCGCTAATGCCGCAGCCAGTCTGTGCGCTAATGCCGCAGCCGGCGGTGACAAACATGTGGCATGCTGATTTGGCAGTGTCGACATTTTCGGAACTGCTTGTTCGCTTCCTGTTGGGTTTGCACAGCCCAGCAGCTAGTACTGATGAGCTAGCTCAATGTGTTATGGTAGCCTGTAATGGATAGCCCATGTTTTCTCCATGCTGCAAATGGTTGGAAGATGCTTGAACTAGTTGGTGCTTCCTATGCAAGTGTTGCTGGTGGTTTCAGCTGGTAACATCTGTACAGATTGCAGACTCATTTCAAGAGCTTAGTGTTGCTGCAGGGAACTGCATGATTAGTATATTATAGCCATGTACTTGAGCTTCCTTCCTCATCAAATTAGTGTAGGATGTTAGAATTTTGTTACTTGCCAGCCAACAGGCAGGAACTGCTCACACTCAGTCCTCAATGTACTGTGGTGGACGTGGAAATCCAGTCGGAGGTCGAGCGGCCCCAGTGCACTGGCCAAGCAGCCGTGAGTTCGCATATGATCAACACGTGTACTGCTGCGTGCAACGTTCTGTACGCACTGAGGGTGCGGGCCCCGAGTCATTCGACCGGATTTCCATGTCCACGACAGTATTACCAACTGGTTATAATACAACAATACATTTTGGTAGGGCCCCCGGGAGCACACAGCAGAGAGAGAGAGAGAGAGAGAGAGAGAGAGAGAGAGAGAGAGAGAGAGAGAGAGAGAGAGAGAGAGAGAGAGAGAGAGAGAGAGAGAGAGAGAGAGAGAGAGAGAGAGAGAGAGAGAGAGAGAGAGAGAGAGAGAGAGAGAGAGAGAGAGAGAGAGAGAGAGAGAGAGAGAGAGAGAGAGAGAGAGAGAGAGAGAGAGGAGAGAGAGAGAGAGAGAGAGAGAGTGCAGTCACTCAGCACACCTTGTCTTTCTACACAGATCAGAATGTACTTCAGTATGTTGAAGTATGGGATCTACCATGCATGAGCGGTACAAACCTAGAAGCTGCAAACCTCCACTGTTGTTTAGTGGGGAGAGTCGCTGACTTGCTCCATGCAGTAGGGAACTGCCAGTACTGCTCTAACTGTTATGTGCAGGACAAGCAAACGCGGCGTGACTAGGCGAGAAATTGGAGCAACGCACAGAGGTTTTCTATCCAGAAATCATGGGGAGATGCATCTAAACTTCAGAAGGCATCAATAAGTGTGTGGGGGGGGGGGGGATATCCTGCGCTAGTTGGGAGGTTTGGCACTGCTCAGGGCTGTACCGGTCTTGTTTCAGTGGTCGCTTTACCCAGAATATAGGGCAGCCATGTGTGGCCGAGAGAAACGAAAGGGGAAATATTCTGGTGGTTCTTATTTTCATGCTACAATGTAATCAGGTAGTCTAGTTTTATTGGAATTACTTCTCAGCGTCCCGTGCCTTGCATGTGCTGCAGTCATGTATGCCTTTGAGTAGCACTATACATGTACTGTTGCATGTGCTGCAGTCATGTATGCCTTTGAGCAGCACTATACATGTACTGTTGTGGATATTGAAATCCGGTGGAATAACCGGGGCCGAGCGCCCTTACTGCCTTAGCGCGTACACCCACTGATGAACCATGACACTGTAAAAATGGACCAGCAGTGCTCGCCGCTGCTGCAAGGCCAGCACCCTGTGGCCGTGGCCGCTTGACTTCTCAACCCAGCGGATTTCAATGTCTACAACATGTGCTAGACAATCTCAGTGCGCGTTGTGTGCACCGTGGCATGCGGATAAGCGACAGACATTGTCGCACAGCGCTCAGCAGGCCATGTCTCTACATTTAGTACATAATACATATTAGCCTGTCCCTGTGGTGTGGCTTCTGATTGATCCTTACTATTACACTCAGTGTTCAATCTCTTGCTCGGCTACCATCACCGGTACTGTGCGACTTGTGGATATAAACAAGTTGTGTTTGTGTTCTTTGACTGATTTTGTGCATTTCCCGGAGCCTCTCGAGATGCCCAAATTCGGTCTATTTCACGTAAATTTTCTAAATTTCTCCCGGGGAGAGCCCCGCCCCCCCCCCCCAAGCTTGCCCAGACCACTCCCAAACTCATTCCTCCGGCCGTGTCAACAAGAACATTCTCATGCCAAGCATGCAGATTTCACCTAGAGCAATGGGAGGTTTGCATCTAGGATGGCCGTCACCTTTTTGCGGGGCAAGTTACCCCATACTTGGCAGGTACAACCCGTTATAGTACATTTGTGTGTATGACCTCACAAAGTTCATGACCTTTTATGCAGAGGTGGTATTAAGGTGTGTACGGTTGTAGTGGACTTGCCCCGCAAAACCTGATGGTGGGGAAATTGATGCATACGTCCTGTTCCTACCATGCCAAGATCCATTGTGAATAATTGGGATTGGAAACTTGCAGTAGATGTGTGAGAAACCAGTTCCACCAAGGATCGGTGTCACTGGAGTTTTTTTGGGCTTTTGTTTTCAAAGAATAATGGCATTCAGTATGAGGCCAGTCAGATCTCAGGTGAGAAACTAGTACCGGCACCCTGGATCAGTCTCACTGTTTTACAAGTGACTCCACTGACCATGCCACCCACTCATCAGCGACACACTTCAACAGTCACCCTGTAGGATACAATCGTGATTTTGGGCTTTTGTTTTTAAAGAATAATGGCATTCAGTATGAGGCCAGTCAGATCTCAGGTGAGAAACTAGTACCGGCACCCTGGATCAGTCTCACTGTTTTACAAGTGACTCCACTGACCATGCCACCCACTGATCAGCGACACACTTCAACAGTCACCCTGTAGGATACAATCATGACATTGTATTGTGTTGAAGGTGCAGCTGTGGATGGTCTAGTAGCTCTACTTTTCCATTGGCCATGCCGTTAAAACAATTTGAAGTATGCATGCCATTCTGGGGATTTCTCCCAAAGGTATGGATCACTTATATGGGCACAGTCAGAGTTATCCAACTCTGAACAGTGTGTGGGTGGGGGGGGGGGGGGTGTGCATGTGTGCTGACTGTCACGTGCCAGGGAATGTGTGTGTATTTGAATGTGCGTGCGTGTGTGGTGTGTGTGTGTGTGTGTGCATGTGCATATATATAATATGTCTGTGTGTGTGTACGAGTGCATGTGCATATATGTGTGCGTGTGTGTGTGTGTGTGTGTGTGTGTGTGTGCCGGCTCTGCAACAAATGTTTTCGGCTTCCACGAGATCTCAACCGGCATGTGGCTCGCCAGCATTGACTCTCTTACCCTGACTCTGGCTCCCTGTCACAAGGGAGTGATGTGGCCCTATGGGGCTGTCGTGCTATAGTAGTAGTAGTAGTGGTAGTATGTGTGTGTGCACGCATATGTGCGTATGTGTGCGTAAGTGTGTGCGTGTGTATATGTGTGTATGTGTGTGCATATGCGGTGCGCATACTAACTATGGTCCTGATAATTGCTCACCTGGTTGTGTCCTCGTCGACGTGTTATGCCCTTTTGTGAAATCCAGCTCAGTCGAATTCATCAGCATTTTTGAACACCCTACCGATTGAAATTGTTCAAGTGGATGGTGGGCCTGTGGTGCTGACTATCAGTGCAACTCAAGCTGCTGTTCGAGGCATCTTGAACTGGCGCTACGCACCTGATAGCAGCACAAACCCGACAAGTATCGCTCGGCACAGTGATGCCGCAGACATCAGCGTCGTTAGGAATGGACTGTGAGTTGTTTTGTTTCTGGCGCCTCAATAGCTTCCAAATGGCAGGGTCAAGAGCAATGGGATGACTGATGTCATCGACTTGTACTTCTGGATGAAGCGTTAGCACGGTTGAGGTTTCATGCATGATTCTTGGTGCAAAGCAACACATAATAGCATGTTACTTTGAAGGATGATAACATACATTCATACATTCAAATACAGTAAAACCTGTGTTGGCCGGACCCTGTACCAAGCACAATCCTATACTGACCGGACGCATTTCGAGTCATGCACCAAAGTGCTGTGGAACGAACTTGCAACCCCGGATCAAGCGGAATCCTGTCATAGAAGGAAAGTTTTCGCTGCACCAAGGGCGACTGGTTAGGGCAGGTTTTTATAGAAAAGGTGTGCCACAGTGGCAAAACTTCCCAGGGAGTCCTCAAGCCGCTAAGTGCAGAGTTTTTCCAAATATGAAAGGGAGAAACTGTCTGATGATTGCTTCTGCATGAAACTTTAAAAAAAAAAGCTGCAACATGTTCCAATCTGATCCTCTCTCTTCCCGCATAATGTACAATGTCATGTACTTGTGGTCCAGGTGACGTGTAATCGAATGGCGCGGGTGCCTGTTAGGTATCAATGCCTGGCATGATTTGATGTGTGTAGAAGCCCTGCAGCACACCTCTCTAAATGTCTTTCATTGTTGTACGGAGCAGAAGAGTTTTCTCCATGCATGGATGAAACGCCTGCTTCTCTATTGATGCGCGGTCTTTCCTTGTTTATTGCCTGTGACAGGGTCATGCAGGTGAACCTGAGCTTTCCGATGACGGCTGCACGAGAGGGACTCTACTCAATCGCAATACTTGGCGACTTTGATGATCTAGTTGAAGAGACTAACTTTACAAGTGTGCGAATCGCAGGTAAAGCCCGCTGCCAGGAGCAGGTGGCTGCATTCCATATACGCTGTCACTGTCTCAAACGCCCAGAAAGCTTTATAAGTGACAATATATGCTCCCTTTTAATGTCACTGTAGGACTGATTTTGAAGAGGATTGGTGCGAAAAGCCTCAGCATACCTACCAGCAGCTTTCCAGTTGCTCATCCTGTTCTTCACTCCTCCAGTTAAATCCTTTGTAGTGAGAGACCATGCATTGGTTCTGTTGTCCAGTACCTGGCCTGGCTGATCGTAGTTTGTGTGCGTGTGTGTGTGTGTGTGTGTGTGTGTGTGTGTGTGTGTGTGTGTGTGTGTGTGCGCGTGTGCGTGTGTATGTGTGTGCGTGTATATATATATATATATATATGTGTGTGTGTGTGTGTGTGTGTGTGTGTGTGTGTGTGTGTGTGTGTGTGTGTGTGTGTGTGTGTGTGTGTGCATGTGCATGTGCATGTGTGCGTGCGTGTGTGCGTGCGTGCGTGTGTGCGTGCGTGTGTATGTGTGTGCGTGTACATGTGTGTGTGTGTGTGCATGTGTGCGTGCGTGTGTGCGTGCGTAAGTGTGGGTGTTAAGAATAAAACCAACAGCACGTCACTGGATCAAATTCATTGCCTGTACATTTTGTGTTGTTGTGTTACGCTTGTAGTTGAGCCAGAGATCACTACGACTGATGATATTGTTGTCAACGAAGGGTCCGACGCAGTCATGCGATGCAACTCCACGGGCTTCCCCGTGCCTCTGATGCAGTGGTGGGACGGTGAGGGTCAGCTACTGGTGGAGCGCTACACAACATCCTTGGAGTATGCGCTACCGAATGTGCAACGTGGAAGCGCTGAGGATTACGTTTGCAATGCCACCAACATGGCTGGTGACGTCAACATCACAAGGAAGCTAATTGTACAATGTGAGGAACCTTATTTTATTACTATTTTTAGTGCATCTGAGCATGACTTCAGCCATGATTGTAGTTACTATGCCGCTAGTGAGGACTACTACCTAATCGTGCAAAGACAATTGTAAGAGTTCCCCTTGTCTTGCGAAAGTGCCGAACACACAAAGAGGACGTTACCACGCATGTTCACGATCACTGGAACAAAATATTTTTTTGTTTATAATAAGATTTGATGTCAACATCATGTCTTTAGTTTTTCCCGCCATTGTGAACCTGTGTAGTGTGTTTGTTGTATTTTCTGTAGTTCAACCTGCTCGTGCTATTCCGGTATGCTAACCGTGTTGTACATACAGTCTCCATGGTGAACGAGGAATGAATCGTACGATTGTTTCACCGCTCTGCATAATTATATACTGTCTTCTTTTCGGGAATGCAGACAAACCGGAAATCACAGGCATTTCGCAATCGCAGCTCTTGCCTGTCGAAGGCCCTCTCCTACTGACGTGCAGCGCTATTGGTGTTCCCGCTCCGCATGTCTTCTGGACTCATCACCGCCACAATCTGACACTCGTCAACCACTTGGTGCTGACACGGGCACGTGACGAGCACCACGGCGGACTCCGCGGACACTCCAACGTCTCCTCAGCTCAGACCATGACTGGAGATGAGGGCCAATACACATGCCATGCGATCAATGCAGTTAGCAGTGTCAGGAGCCATGCTCACATCACGCTGCAACGTAGGTTGTCCTATGCCCTAGAGTCAAACGTGTGTGCGCGCGCACAGTTCATTCGTCATCGCAGAATGATGTCACTTGCATGCAATATACGGGGTGTTGGGGAGGGGGGGGGGGGGAGAAGTGCGTGTCAATATCACTGGACTTGAGATGCAAATTGCTACCCTGGTTCCTGTTGCACCCCCCCCCCCCCCCACGCACACACCACCACCATATGCATGCACATTTTATCAGGCATGCTAGAGCTCACTGGCACTGTGCTTGGTCACTTGGTCCTAGTAGTATGCAATGGTCTCCAGCTACATGGACTGGGGTGGTGTCCGTGCCGGAGCGTGTGCCAAAGAGGACGTTCGCTGCACGAGTGTAATGATCGTTCGATTTTGTTCTCTTGTAGATCGACCCGACGCACCGGTCCTAAAAGCAGTCGATAGCATGCAGGTCACGACCGACTCGGTCATGATCAGCTGGCCTATGCCGAACTACCACAACAGCACAATCATCCTGTACGAGGTGGAGGTGCGGCTGCGAGACAACGACACCTGGATCGCCGTTCCAGTCGCCTCCTCTACCGTTACAGCCCTGGACAGCATGATAACTGGCCTCACACCATGGAGTGAATACCACTTCCGTGTGCGAGCGCTGAATGCAATTGGCTACAGTGATTTCAGCAACGAGACGGCTGCTGTGCGCACCTATCCACTTGGTAAGGCTTGCATGAACGTGAAGACGAGGGAAAGAACAAACCCCTGTGCACATTCAGAACGGCGTTGTTGAAAAGACAAGGCAGTGCATGGTTTGAATGGCTTGCTTGTCACGTGCTTACATGTCCATGGCCTTACCGGCAGTAGTATATGAAGCAATCAGGACTGCAGCAGCGCATCTTGCTTTACCCTGGCTATAAATAAAATTTTAAAAATTTCACGGTTCGCGCGAGACTCGGCTAAAAGCCGAGTTTTCCGCATCTGCCGTGGGAACGCCACCACCCTCTAGGATCAAGGCGCAGATGCAGCGCCTAAACGGTGGGAGGTGAGTAGATCAGACCCACCACTAAGTGGTCAAAGACTGAAATCCCATTAGCTGCATCCATGTTACCCTCGTGCCATGCCACGAGTTCCCAATTAACTGTGGGTCGCAGCACGGCTGAGGAAATTCCTTCCGCTTCCAAGCAGGACTTGAACCTGGTACCCTCTGTTTCTCAATCATGGTCTTAGACCATCCCACTATGCCTACCCTGGCTGTGTCAAGTCAACAAACAAACCTTGCTTCGATAGCAAACAAACTGCTATGGAATGTAAGTTGAAAGCTGTACTGCTGGCATATCTGCCGGGTATTGAACTGGCAAGGTGGTCCTTAGTTGACTGGCTGCACTTGTCTTACCCGGGTACTGCTGGCTGACTGGACCAGCTGTACCCTGCCTGCTCAGGGACTTCTACATGATTGTCTGGAAAGTCAACACAGGGAGACTGGGCATGTAGTTTTGAAACGCGCTGCCCGGCATGATTAGGAAAATTCATGCCTGTTCACGCGGCAAGTGAATGAAAGCAACCGAAAACGTGGAGGGAGGAGGTTCAAGTGGTGAGCAGTGACAGTGTGTACGTGCCTTTGTGCAGGTGTGTGTGAGTGTATGTATGCAGGAGTGTGAGTGGCCATATGTAGGCCTATGAGTTACTTGCAAACAGACACAGTGTTTACCAGGTCATCTGTGCTGCTGTTGTTGTGCTAACTGCTATCGGCAGGTTGTGTATTTTATAGCTGCTGTCATGCGTGTATGCTTGATCTGCTGCAGACCCTGTGGCGCCTGAGGATGTCGAGGTGATGTTGGCTGAAGCAACTTCGATCACGCTTCGTTGGCAGGTAAGGGAACTGTTGTCTCACTGGGATTCTTGTTGGCGTGTGTGCGCCAACTGGCAAGGGAGCTCCCAGTGTGAAAGCTGATGTAAATGGATGCAGTATGTTCTCCGGTTTGCAGAGCAACACTTCAGTGTGTAGCTGCAAGAGGTGTATCAGTGATCCCTGCCTGATATCGGAGTGTCTCTGTGCTGTTGCTCTGTGCAGTTACCGGACACGTGGACTGACCAGCGCGGTGTACTGAGACGCGTTCTGGTGTCCTACAAACGACAGACGAGTGGCGCAACAGGCATGCTACTACAAGAGAATGTTACTGTTGGTGCTGGAGAAACTATGGGAGATGTTAGAGTATCTGGATTGGAGAAGGGCTCGCAGTACTCATTCAAAGTCACCTTTGACAATGGATTTTCCATGGGCGGCAGCTTTGAAGTTTCGGGCAACACAACAATCACAAGTAAGCAACGACATCAGGTGGAGCACACTGGTGAATATGGTGTGAATTCGTTCTGACTCTGGTTGTACCCTCCCCCCCCCCCCCTTTGCAATGTGGCTGAAACACAGGTCTTGCTTGTGCTACATTTACTGCTGACTCTGGTTGTACCCCCCCCCCCCTTAGGTTCATTGCAATGTGGCTGAAACACGGGTCTTCCTTGTGCTACTTTCCCCCCCCCCCCTTAGGTTCATTGCAATGTGGCTGAAACACGGGTCTTCCTTGTGCTACTTTCCCCCCTGCTGCTGTTCTTTACTTTTATATCTACCCCCACTCGCCACCGGCGCGCAGAGCCTGGCAACGCAACGTCGTTTGAGGCAAGCACACTCAGCCACGAGAAGATCCGCGTGACCTGGTCCGGTCTGGATGACGGCGGTACCAGCCTGACCCGACTGGTGTTGCAGTACAAGGAGACAGACGACGAGAACATGACCTGGACGCCCGTCGACACGGCAACGCCGCCGCCGCTGGTCACCGATCACAGCATCGTGCTGACCGGCTTCAGCACTCAGACTACCTACCGCTTTCGGCTCGTCGTCCACAACAGCAAGGGCAAGGGCCGGCCGACCAGCGTGTCCAACGACATTACGACGCCGGAGTTCCGTAAGTTGCTTCGTCCAGACAGTGTGAGGTTCAGTGGGCTGTTTGTTTTTAGGTGCAGTAAGACGCAGGCAGGCATAGTGGGATGGTCTAAGACCATGATTGAGAAACAGAGGGTAGAGGCGACGGTTTCAAATAGGACATAGGTTGCAAACCGGAACGGTCTCAATATTCACTTTCTCTCTTGGTATTTTGATTAGAAAACGTATGTCACAGTGAGACTACGATGTGTTTTACTCAGCGCCAAAATTCCATTGCTCTGCGATGACCAGAAGCGCCATACCAAGCATTTGAGTTTTTGATGTGTTGCTTCCCACCGCGACTTGAGTTTTACAACTTTCGAAAAATCGACTTCTTGTCGCAGGTAAACAGCGGCTTGCCTCTCGCCAATAAAGCACCGCATACCAATCAAAACTAATGGAAGCACACACAAGGCTTATTGTTACTCTGTACTGGCCGTCGTGGAGCGATAGCAATTACCTAATTTCAGACCCAGAGTGAATTTGGCGTGCACTCTAAAACATGTCCGGTTTGGAGCCACCTCTGATTTGAAGCGAAAAATTGCGCAACTTGGAGGCAATGGGTCAACACAAAGGAGTTGCTCAGTTCGATTGACTCTGGCCTCAGAGCAAACTTCTACATGCCAGTTTCCTTCCACAAACATATTTTGAGTGAACAATCAACGCTGATGATCGGTTTGTCTATTCAAATTTGGCTGTCAAGCCGTTCCGGTATCGAACCGTCGCCTCTACCAGGTTCAAGTCCTGCTTGGAAGCGGATTGATTTTTTCCAGCCGTGCTGCGACCCAGAGTTAATTGGGAACTCGTGGCCTGGCACGAGGAAAACATGGATGCAGTGAATGGGATTTTCGGTCCTTGACCACATGCTGGTGAGCTGATCTACTCACCTCCCACCGCTTTAGGAGCTGCATCTGCGCCTTGATCCTTGAAGGGTGGTGGCGTTCCTACAGATGCGGAAAACTCGGCATCTATATAGATAAACCGAGTCTGACGCGAACCATGAAATTTTTTTATTTGAAGCCCATGTGATACTCATTAGTGTCTGTCATCTGTATTGGAGGTGAAAGAAAAATGCTATTCCGATGAACACAGAAATGTAGTCTGGAAGACTACCTTAAAAGAGTCGATGTCTGCAACAACTAAAATATCACCGGACATGGCCGGGCCAAATATTCAATTTCCGATTTTGCCCAAAGTTGGCTCCTTTTACGCCTAGATGGACCTCATTCACCCACTATGACAGTTTGATTATAATAATCAAGGGTCTAAATACTTGTGCATTCAAACCGGTGGGACGCTCCTCTCTCTCTTTCTTGTGGCAGAATATCCGCCCGCAGTGGTGCTGCTGGCGGTGACTCCCAGAGCACGGTCAGCGCTCATCGTCTGGAGTCTGACCGACGAGAACCCACTGGTGCCCATCACGCACTATACCATCCTGTGGCAGACGGACTCCATGCCACTAGTGGAGGAGGCAAACGTGACCGCGACGCCAGGACTGCGTCAGTACAACATTGAAGGACTGAAGCGCGACGCCAGCATCAGCATGCGCATGCGCGCCAACAACGAGTACGGCAGTGCGCGCAGTTTCACACCCCAGGTGATATTCAAAACCGGGAGAGGTAAGATTTGTGTGGTCGGTCACTGGGTAATTGGCAGCTCAGTTGACGGTAAAGATAGCCCATAGTCAAATCTGACTGTGAGAGCAAGAGGTGTTGGAGACCTCGGGTTTCGCAAAGTTTGACGTATTGAGAGCGGTGCACATCTCCCCTCCCTCGTCGCCATTGCCTTCACAGCCGAAGTCAGGTACACTATCCCAGATTGGTCTCCTGGGGGTGGAAATAATCTTCACTCACTTTCGAAATCAAACCCACCTCTTGTTTGGAAGGCCAATGATCTAACCAATTTGCCAACCACACGTCCATGTGGACAAGTAGAACATCCACTGGCTAGGCCCCGCCGGGTTTACCCAACACAAAAGACAGGCTTCACTGAAGTTTGTCCAATAAGCCTTAGTTTACCCAGCATAATGGGTCCGTTAATTCTAAAGACAGGTTACATGTTGAGTCTTTCAATTCTAAAGACAGACAGGTTTCACTGAAATTTTGCACTTGCACAGGTTTGCCGAGTCCACTCCGGGAAGTTCTGCTTCGAGAGAATGGGCCGGACAAAGTTAAGCTCTTCTGGCGTTTGGATCTGACCGTGGACGAGTACCCTGCAACGGAACTGCTGTTCTCATTGAAGCATGGAGGGCAAGGTGGAGCCGATATAGGGGACATTGCGATTAACATCACCAAGAACAGTGGCGAGCATATCCTGAGGGACCTGAAGCCACAGACGGCATACATTGTCAACGTATATGCGGTCAATGACTTTGGAAGAAGCGAGCTGGCAAGAGAGCGCGCATTTAGAACACAAGGTGAGAGCTTTGTACTCCTGCACATGCAGAGCACTATTCTCCTGTTAAAAATAGGTATGTATGTGTGTGTGTGTGTGTGTGTGTGTGTGTGTGTGTGTGTGTGTGTGTGTGTGCCTGTGTGTGTGCCTGTGTGTGTGGAGGGGGGGGGGTGTCTCTCTCTCTCTCTCTCTCTCTCTCTCTCTCTCTCTCTCTCTCTCTCTCTCTCTCTCTCTCTCTCTCTCTCTCTCTCTCTCTCTCTCTCTCTGTGCGTGTGTGTCTAAACGTGTGCACACAAATCCATGCTCTACTCCGTTCGTAGTACCTGCAGATTGCAGAAGGATGCTCTTTACCATGCGTGTCTGCGCGCGTGTGTGTACGTGTGTGTCTGCCCGTGTGTCTGCCTGTGTGTATGTGTGTGTGCACGTGTGTGTGGGTGTATGTGTGTGCACATGCACTCACGCATCTCCTTGCCGCATATGTGTGTGCAGCTGCTCCCCCGAAGGTCTCCTCTCCGACCATGACAATCACAAGCACGGTGGTGAAATCGGGAGGCAGTGACAGCAACAAGACCACCATCATCGCCATCATTGCCGCCAGCTGTTTCGGCGTGTTGCTCATTATGCTGATGATCGTCTACCTGATTTATGTCAAGAGGAGGAGGACAAAGACAGGTGTGTGTTCATTACACTACTCCGCTGTTCGTGTCAATGACTCTGAGTCATACATCCCCATATAATCTTGCTATCTTTCTAGGTGTTTACCCTCACTGACGTCCTATGTTACCCTGGACACGTTTGATTGATTTGTCCATGTTCCCAAGTACAGTAATGTAGACAACGTCATGGTCACTGTGTCTGTTGAGTAGTAGCGTACACAGTGTATAGCTAGCTTGCTGCTGCCTTGTACAACTAGCATGAGTGTGTTGGAGAAGAAGTCTAGAAAGTGGTGCTCTCCTCTCTCTCTCTCTCTCTCTCTCTCTCTCTCTCTCTCTCTCTCTCTCTCTCTCTCTCTCCTCTCTCTCTCTCTCTCTCTCTCTCTCTCTCTCTCTCTCTCTCTCTCTCTCTCTCTCTCCTCTCTCTCTCTCTCTCTCTCTCTCTCTCTCTCTCTCTCTCTCTCTCTCTCTCTCTCTCTCTCTCTCTCTCTCTCTTCTCCTCTCTCTCTCTCTCTCTCTCTCTCTCTCTCTCTCTCTCTCTCTCTCTCTCTCTTCTCTCTCTCTCTCTCTCTCTCTCTCTCTCTCTCTCTCTCTCTCTCTCTCTCTCTCTCTCTCTCTCTCTCTCTCTCTCTCTCTCTCTCTCTCTCTCTCTGTGCCACCTTCCTCCTTCCTACTTAGTCGTTTGTCCCTGAAGCGCAAGACTTTCACGTGTTGTTGTGTTTCCTGTGTTGCCGGTGTGCTGATGATGTGTTGTTTTGTTCCCTGTGTTGGTGGTGTGCTCCACTGAGGAATGGCTGGTGGATAATGTGTTGTTTTGTTCCCTGTGTTGGTGGTGTTCTCCACTGGGGAATGGCTGGTGGATAATGTGTTGTTTTGTTCCCTGTATTGGTGGTGTTCTCCACTGAGGAATGGCTGGTGGATAATGTGTTGTTTTGTTCCCTGTGTTTGTGGTGTGCTCCACTGAGGAATGGCTGGTGGATAATGTGTTGTTTTGTTCCCTGTATTGGTGGTGTGCTCCACTGAGGAATGGCTGGTGGATAATGTGTTGTTTTGTTCCCTGTGTTGGTGGTGTTCTCCACTGGGGAATGGCTGGTGGATAATGTGTTGTTTTGTTCCCTGTGTTGGTGGTGTGCTCCACTGAGGAATGGCTGGTGGATAATGTGTTGTTTTGTTCCCTGTGTTGGTGGTGTTCTCCACTGGGGAATGGCTGGTGGATAATGTGTTGTTTTGTTCCCTGTATTGGTGGTGTGCTCCACTGAGGAATGGTTGGTGGATAATGTGTTGTTTTGTTCCCTGTGTTGGTGGTGCGCTCCACTGATGAATGGCTGGTGGATAATGTGTTGTTTTGTTCCCTGTATTGGTGGTGTGCTCCACTGATGAATGGCTGGTGGATAATGTGTTGTTTTGTTCCCTGTATTGGTGGTGTTCTCCACTGAGGAATGGCTGGTGGATAATGTGTTGGTTTGTTCCCTGTGTTGGTGGTGTGCTCCACTGAGGAATGGCTGGTGGATAATGTGTTGTTTTGTTCCCTGTATTGGTGGTGTTCTCCACTGAGGAATGGCTGGTGGATAATGTGTTGTTTTGTTCCCTGTGTTGGTGGTGTTCTCCACTGAGGAATGGCTGGTGGATAATGTGTTGTTTTGTTCCCTGTGTTGGTGGTGTGCTCCACTGATCGTCAGGCGAAATTACTGGTCAGTCGGCGACACGCATTTTTCACAAAAATTTGCGTTTCACCTGCGGGGAGAGTATGCGTGTACTCGAGTCTCATCCTGAGCACGTTTTTTTCTCCGTTTTTTCAGCTCCAGTATAGCTGTATTTTTCATTGCAAAGCCGTCCTCGATTGTTGTGTTCGTTGTTCAAACGAAGTGGACATTCAATCATGAAGGCAGAGGACATAGGAGCCTGATTGGAGTTTCTCGTGGCATAGGACGGCCACACACAGACACTTTGGAATTTTCTGAATATAAAATACCGTACGCACGATGCTGAGATCAATTTGTGCGATATCAAATTGTTTGTGATCTACCACATAGAGCAGAATGTAATCGAATTCCTTTCTACTTTAGGTCGGACCCTAGAGCACTACCAATTCCGTCTGTAGGCTCCCTCGATCCCTCACGACCACACACTCAAGACCCCAAATACGGCTTGTTTACAGGAATTAGTCTAAAAGGAGAGTAAAAAGATCCACAAAAGCCAGCCTGATGCCGCGAGGTTCATGCCCTCACGCGCATCAAAGAACCATAGCAAAAATGGCGCACAGCATGATCAGATCACATCATCATGCTCTGATCAGCGATTCAAAGCGAGTCAACATATGATAACTAAATTATTGGAATCTTTCGAAAAACTATGATGTCAAAACATCAGTACATTTAGAGAATTATTTGAACAAGATCGAAGGAGAAGATTGATTACTTTATAATGAACTGCAAATCATGCAATTCCATTACACCTCACCGCCTGATGACATAACCATTCATGCAATGAATACCTGAATGTCATCAACAAACTTATACTACACCTCACCGCCTGATGACATTATAAATAAAAGCACAAGAATAATAAAACAGAAACAAGTAAGGCAAAGATGTCACGAACATACACATGGCTTGAATAGACGCACATACGCACACACGCACGCACGCACACATACCCACACAGATGCGCACACGCAGGCCAACAACGGAAAGTTGGTGACTATACCGTGCTGGTGGTACAATAGCAGCCCTATCACGCAAGCCATATGCCCGCATAACTGAGGGCTCGGCTGCTGGCAACACACGGACATACGTGGCACTGTCACTGTCATTCTCTGCAGCGGCACCATCTGCAGGTGCTGCTGGGGCTGGCTCTGTTTGCAACGCATTAGGCTTCAACAGTTCCACATTGACCGTTTTCTCACTAATCCGGCCGGTACTGGAGTTGGTGCTGCTGATGACAACGGTAGACGGTGACACGATATGCACTACAGACCAACCAGGTTCATATGGAGTCATCCGTTTCTGGTGACGTTCTGGGCGACGGAGAAGAACTGGGGCACCAACGACAAACGGACACTCACTCTCTTCAGCCAAAACAGCATCAGACTCGGCCACAGTATCATTGACAAAGTCACGAATCCGAGCGCACTTCAGTGATAGTTCAGCTGACCAGGACATAAGCGAACCTTCGACAACAGGATGCTCTACGATCAGGTCACATGGCTCCCAGTTGACCATGGCCATCATTGGCGACATCTGGATGGCAGCATGGGGGCGAGTACGGTAGTAATACAATAATACCTGGAGCTCTGTCAACCAATCAGACGACGAGTCAATGGTCTTACGGATCATATTCAGCAGGGTACGGTTAAAGCGCTCAGCGCTGCCCTGCGACTGCGGGTGGCGAACTGCGCCGTGGCGAACATGCACACCGAAGACATCAAACAATGCAGAGACCATGGCATTACAAAACTCTGACCCATTGTCGCTGCGAATGACACGTGGAGGACCCCATCGGGTACACAACTCCACCAGGCCGGCAGCAACACTGGACGCATCATGTCTCTGAAGCGGAATAATTTCTGCCCACTTTGTGAAAGAGTCAATACAGACCAACACACAATGATACCTGCCACTATGACACGCACCCAACTCAAGGGTATCAATGTGGACTACTTCCCACGGTCGGCTGGGCGAGTCGGAACGCACTTTCGGAACTGGGCCAGCAGACATAGAGCTGGCACAACGACAAGGGCTGCAGTCTCGGACATACTGCTGACAACTCTCAGCTAGCTTGGGAAAATAGCACCGACGGCGGATACTGCGCCACATGGCCTCCCAATTGCCATGGGCAGTAGCAGAATGTGCAGACGACAATACCTCTTCACGGAGCGACATAGGTAAAACGGGCACTGCGACTTCACCATCTATCGGGTCATTTACACTGCGGTACAATACACCTTCAACGACTACAAGCTGATGCTGCACACGCTTGAATGCAGCCACAGACACAGGCTTACCAGCTACCAAGTCAGAGATAGTGGCACAAATCAATTCATCACGTTGCTGTTCAGCAGCTATCTTGTCAAGTGAGACAAAAACCGATGACAATGATGGCAACGGCACAGAAACAGAGATACCACACGTACCCTCATGGCGACGCTCATCTGCAGACTTGAGAACAGTCTTGGCGAGAGCTGTCCATCGGTGCGGAACACGGGTCAGGCAATCGGCACGATTCTGCTCACTTTTCACCCACGCGATGGTGACCTTGAGCCCAGCAACAGCGATCATGTCCGACAGGATAGCCAAACGACGTTGCACCAGAAGAGCTTGCAGACCCGACACTTTGACACGGGACGCGTTCCGTAATGTAGCTTGAATCCACCCGTGTACAGTCTTAGAGTCGGTCAGGAGGTGCACTTCACTGACGTTCCAGTCAACAGCCAATTCCAGAGCTCGGATGGCGGCTTCTAGCTCTGCGACATTGATATGCCGCTTGTCGTCCTTGGCCCTGAGCCACGCGCGGTCTTCCACTGTTACACCGCCTGCTTCCAGGACAACACCATACGCCAGGTCAGATGCGTCACACCACACTTGCACTCTACCGGTACTGACTGGAACATGCCACTGGCCACGCACTGGATCCTCGGTGCACAGACGAGCAGATAGATCACGACAGCACTGGTACACTACGTCAGACACTTCGCTGTCCCAGCTGCCACATTCGGATGACAGACGCTTGACGAAGCTGCATGCTGTACGTAACCACCCACAGATCGGGTAGTGACCAATGACGCGGCCACACCAGCTAAACAGACTGCGCTTGGTGATACGCACTGGTAGAGACACATCGATATCACGGCGAACCCATGTCACTTCGCCGGTTGCATCCTGCTGCAACTGTAAGCCCAGCACTCGAGCTTCAGGCAGCTGTTCAGCAGGTTTCGTTGCGAGGCCGTACTCTGCCAACTTTGCCTCGGCTTCCACCTGGTGATTCTTCGCAACAAACACATCGTCGACGTAATTGTCGGCT